CTTTTCAAATGCCTAACTTACATTTTTTTAATTGGATAACTCAAATTAAAATATTTAAGGGTGGCAGGAATATCCAAAATCCGTTTGGGTCACGAACTACTGTCAACAGACGAAGCTGTGAATCGAATTCCGGTTTCAGTCTGTGGATTTCAGATATCTAAAGCTAAAATAGATCGACGGCGCATTTTGTTTATGTCTGGAGTGTATCACCTGACACCAAGTAGATACCATGCTTGTCCTATAAAACTATACAAGAGCAAGAACTTTGATACTTTATTTATAGAAAAATAAATCAAAGCGTGGTAAGTGTAGAAACAGAATAAGGCGATTATAAAATTTAATCTTATAAAATAACTTTCACAAAGCATGTTTTTTCACTTGGAACATTCGTTATTTGCGCTAGACACGGTCTTGACTTTTATGAAATTTAACCTGCGGTCGTTTTTTTATCGACTTTGACATTGCCCTATATGATTTAGTCACGTGACTGCGCATACGCTGTCGATCAACGTACACGGCTAAAAATAAATATAAAATCTAATTATAATGAGCGTAAAGTACAGTGATTTATTTTTATTTCTTTGACTCGTTTTCGCACGCGACGTCGTCTGTACAGAAACGAAGATTTCATGTTACTTTTAGTGTTGAATAAATATTCAAAATGTAAATACCACACTTTTAACGGTTTAGAAAGCGAAATATTACCTAACTTATTTTTAAATACGACTTGATGTCTTTTGCGGTTACGGCAGTTGTAAGCGTCCGATACGTTGGGTCATCGTTAAAAATAGGTACAATAAGAAATATTGCAAATAAAACACTTTAACGGTTTGGAACGCGATATATTAGTTAAACTTATTTGAAAATGATTTCTTAACTTCGGCCCGACGTTTCGGATGCTTCGCAGCAGTCATGGTCACGGGGAGACTGAACTTATATATCGCGTTTTAAACCGTTAAAATGTTTTATTTAAATGTGTACTACTCGAGTAAACGAAGAGACCATATTTAAGAAATATTGCGTTTTAAACCGTATTTTTGCAAAAAACCTGGTTAGTCTAATGTGTGGTAGTGCTAATAATCGTGGGATCCCCACCAGATCCAACATGTTTCTAATCAATTTATTTTTAATGAAACATGTTGGATCTGGAAATCTGGATATTAAATTGGATGGTAGGAATATCGAAATACCGTCCACCGTCCTCAAATGAATTAGCTGTCGACTATTTGCCTAGGAAAAGAACGGCTACGTGTAGAAGCAATAAGTTCAACGCGTAAGGACCTGTTATTAGAATCTCATAATACTCGTAAGTAGTTATGTCTAAACAAAGTTTCTGTAAATACTGAATGAAGACATTGAACCTTAATACGCAAGTATTAAGGTCGAAATGACATTGCGGGAGGCATGTATCAGTCGATTGAAAAAAATCGTCGATAATGCGTACTCCGCGGTAGCTTCATCGGTTAGAGCTGTGATTCCCAAAGTGGTCTATACCGACCCCTAGTGGCAATGACAACCTACAAGGGGGAAAAAAAATTTTCGGTCCATGCATTGAAGATGGGGGTCCACGAGAATATTACTTGCATTATATTATTTTATAATATCAAAACATATATACATCCTTACTAATATTATCAATGCGAAAGTAACTCTGTCTGTCTGTCTGTTACTATTTCACGCCAAAACTTAGGCTACTTACTATTTTTATTGCGAAAAGGGGGTTTTAAGGGGTTAAAAGGGGGGAATTGTATGGAAATTTAAGGTTTTTGTAGCTAGAACAATTAAACTATCTTCTTTGGCTTTTTGGGAATAAGAGTGGGAGTGAGAGTGATGTAAGGTGAGAGTGTTGCGGCAAAGTAGCACTTACAACATAGATTGGCTGCCTTAAATTCGCCCTTACATATGTTAATAAACAGCTTGAATAATTAAAAATACTACCCCAAGTCACTGTTTCACGCGGACGAAGTCGTGGGCACAGCTAGTTATTTATGAAAGTACTTATGTATAAAAATATTATATATGTATATAAAATTGTGTAAGTTGTAGGATGTTGGCTTAGTAAATATATAAATTAAGATGTGTTTTAACTTTAAGTTTTCAACACTAAATTTCACTACAGTTAGAAATTCACAGGAAATCGATATTAGGTAAGTAGGGGGTCTACCCAACATCCAACCATGGCAAGGGGTCTACGACACAAAAAAGTTTCGGGAACTCTGGGTTATAGCAACAACACGGAACGGAATTTATAATCGATTTTTAATAAATATAGTTTGGTTAAAAATCAAGGTCACATATTTGGCTAAAAATTAATTTATTATTTTTTGATACTACTTAGACTCATGTATACATTTACCCGACGGATTTGCATTATCTATGACTAAAGTCACTAAAGTCATAGATAATGCAACTTCACAGAAGAAACAGCCGGGTTTAAATCTACGTCGGTATCAGTCTATAGATTTCCAAATGCCCAATGCCAAAACAGGCAGACGTTTCTTGGACATTAATATATTACGGGAAACCTGAGCTCTGGTGGCGGATTTCATTGTTTGTCGATATATAAAGCTGAAGGGTTCGTTTGTATGTTTGAACGCGCTAATTCCAGGAACTACTGCTTCGAATTGAAAAGTTACTTCTGTGTTGGTTAATGCATTTATCGTGGAAGGCTTTATAACGTCACACTGCGGGAAATGTGAAAAAAAAACAGGGAAAATTATTCATTTTTGTGGGTCTCCGATGCGTACGCTGCGACAATGTTTCAAGACAAAATATAAGTACGAAAGAATTATTCGTTTATAAATTATCTAAAAAAATGTCCACGACACTATATGGCCTATCTTTTAATATTAACTTGCAAGAACGACGGGACATGTAGGTAATAGTTTAAATTTATTAAGATAAGAAGGAGATTTGCGAAAACAATTTGAATGCCCAAAATTACTGCTCTACGCGGACGAAGTCGCTGACACAGCTAGTGTTTTTGGATATATAGGAAATTAACAAACGTTACGTTCCTTTTAATTATACGGCAGGAGCGATTTTTTTTTATATTACGCGTGAATGGAACTTAAGAAACAAAACAAGGATACAACACAAACTGTCACTCAAGTCTGGTTCTGAAGGTAATGCGTTTGCACAGATAAAAAAGAGTTATTCTTGTTTTTTATATTTAAATGATACACTTTAACGGTTTAAAACGCGATATATTAGTTAAACTTATTTGAAAATGATTTTTACCTTCGACCCGACGTTTTGGATGCTTTGCAGCAGCTAATATATCGCGTTTTAAACCGTTATTGTGTTTTATTTAATCTTTTTTCTGTGCAAGCACCTTACCTTAGAATGTATGTAGTAGTATTGATTTTGTTAAGATTAAGGCGACATATTATGTATGTGAAATCCCGTTTCCCCCTCGTGGGGCATGGGGCGAACACATTTCTGTGTTCGTTTCACTACATCCGTTCTTTAACAGGCGAGTATATCAGACTGTGCCCTGCCCGACCGATACATTTTTTTTTGTTTCCCTGGGATTCGAACCCGGAACTTTTCGCGCTTAACGCAATGCTAGGCAATCAATTAACGATTTGGCTACAGAGGCAGTCATGTAGTGTAGATGTTTTCTCAATTTTTTTTTAAATTTAAAAATGTCAAACGACTTTGTCCTACCATAATATTGTGTGTTATTAATTTACGCATTTAAGTTTACCTCAATATATTTTATATCTCACTAGCTGTGCCAGCGACTTCGTCCGCGTATAATAGTTATTTTGGATATCAAGTTTGTTTTTACAAAACCCCTCTTTTGTCTATAGTTTACGCGAGTAGTACACATTTAAATAAAACACTTTAAGGGTTAATGCTTTGCAGCAGTCTCCCCGTGACCACGGCTGCAAGCATCCGAAACGTCGGGCCGAAGTTAAAATCATTTTCAAACACGTTTAACTAATATATCGTGTTTTAAACCGTTAAAGTGTTTTATTTAAACCCCCTCTTCATCTTTATAAATATAAGCTGTTACGACGTCGGTGGTTCTTGCTAGTTCATCTCAAGAGATAGACTATACTGTCGTTGATGATGTGTTGGTTATTTGAAGAAGAATTATACAGTTCGCAGTGTACGCATCGGGAACTCACAAAGATAAGTCATTTTCCCCGTTTTTTTTCACATTCCCCACCCTTTTAGCTTTATACGTGTGTTTTGGATGGGTTGGAAAAATCGATAATGACGTGTAGGACTGGGTAGCTGAATTGTGGATGCCGGCAAGAATGATTCCTGTTTCACTGATCTACAAAATGTCCGCGACGCTATATGTCTATCTTTTAAAATTGACTTGTTAGAACGACGGGAAGGGACGCGATCGACGTCGTGTAAACTTAAGTTTATAAAGATGAAAGGGTTTGCAAAAACTACCTTGATGCTCAAAATAACGATTCTCGCGGACGAAGTCGCTGGCGCAGCTAGTTTAATATACAATATATATGAGGGTATGATATGAGGGTAGTATTTTTAAATTTCAAGAAAAGACAAACAAGTTCAGGGTTTAAATAAAATACTTCAACGGTTTAAAACGCGGTATATATTTATGTGGAAATTATTTTATTTACGCCCCGACGTTTTGTATGCTTTACAGCAGCTATGGTCACGGGGAGACTTTGAACATAATCTTCAAATAAGTTTAACTAATATATATCGCGTTTTAAACCGTTTTAGTGTTTGCTTTGAACCCTAAAATTGTTTCCCTTTTTTGAAGTTTAAAACTACATTTATATCTTAATAGGTCTAAATAGAGGCTCGTAATCGTTTAACATCGGTAATATTTTTCGATCTAGAGCCTCGATGACCATTCGAGTGATTCCGTTGATTCGAGGCACACTATCATCGAATCAACGACCGCAGTTTACCATTTATAATGAGCTATCTCGCCATTGGTTATGTATTCTGTAATACAATAAATGCATTAACAAAAAATAAAACAAATATTTTTTACATTTAAAATTATGAGGACCGACGGCGTGGTGCGGGTTAATTTGTCTGTAGGTACATTTTCAGTAACATATAAAAGCCGCTGCCGGTACGATCGTCAGCCATAGACGATTAAAAGTGTGTTGAAGGTTTATAGTGCGGGCTTTTTTTAGTGATATTAAACAATAATTACGATTTAAAACGCGTGCTTAAATTTATTGTTAACCAATATAAGTACAGTGATATTTTTTATGTCGTTTTTATAGCACCGCGGTTGATAATAAGGTACGCAATTTGAATACTTATTCTTAAATTAAATAGATCTCTGAAACTGATTGAATTTTAATGTTTATAGTAAAAAAACATGTAAATAAACACTTTAACGGTTTAAAACGCGGTTTATATTACTTATACCGTTAGTGTTTTATTTAAATGTGTACTACTCGTGTAAACTACAGACAGTAGTAGTAAAAAACAATTAAATAACATTCATAATTTTACTATCTGATACAGCGTTATATTTTAGAATTTTCTTAAAGATTTTTTTAAAAGTGTATCATAAGTGGAAGAGGGAATTGGGCGTTGATATCGTAATATCAGAAAATTACAATGAAATAGGACTGTGAAAATTTATTTTAATTAATAACACTTTATACAATATTTTATAAAAATTATTTATTAAAAGAATTCAAAGAAAGTGTAAGAATTGGAAACGCTTTTCATACCCCGAAGATATACTTCGGGCTATGAAAAATACAATAGATAGTGGTATACTGGTAGGACCGTCTAGAGAATTTGCTCATTAAATGGAAGGTTGGAGTATTTAAATTCTTAAATAATTAAATAGTCCGGCTTAAGCTTTCAAGATGCTAACCCCCCCCCCCCCCAAAAACCCCCCCAAAAAAAAAAAACTTCTGTGGGGAAACCCGGGGAAAAAAAAAAAAAAAAAAAAACCCCCCCCGACCCCGGCTGCTCCAAAGCATCTGAAAACGGGGCGTGTTAAAAAATCTGGCCAAAATACTTTTTGATGCCTAAAAACCTGTCCCTGGAATTAACATTACATTTAATGCGAATCCGATACAAAATTGTGACAATAGTATAATCATTTTAAAATTTAACATTATTATCTAATACAAAACACATGATTTGAACTGAAATAATTGTTATTAATTGAAAATTTACAGTAACAAAGTTGCCATTTTTAGTAACGCAGCCGTTTTTCATACTAAATATCTATGTCCCTGAGCATGTGTGCCAAACTATACGGAACAATTTCTCAAAATATTTCCTAGGTGGCGGTTAATTATAGATGGTATAATAAAAATGCAAGGTTTGGACGTTATTAGAATGGCATTAGAAACGTTTTAAATTGAACATTTAATAAAATAAAAAATTAATGTATCTGTGTCCCCAACGAGTAACAATATCGTAGCTACCTTGCGTTACTGTATGAAAAAAGACTTTAAAATGATTGGATTAAGGTTACTTGCACATTATTTGGTTCGATTTGTAGTAACTCGTTTAACAAACGACAGTAACAGCGCGGGGGCAGTACTCTCGCCGTGCTGGTCGCGTCCCGCTCCGTGAAGGAGGTGCGTGTATCTATTGTCTGTCTGCTGAGTTACCGCTGTTAATGTTACGTCCTGACGATATTTCACGTTATTATTGTTTTATTACGCATTTAGGTATGTATTGCAACCGTGAGTGTAAAAATATCTGGATTTTATTATTTGATTTGGAAATTATTTACAATTTAGTCAAATATTTACAACTGCGTAACTGCTACACTGCGTTACAAAAAAAAGTAACGCAGTAGTTAGATAGGTAACGTAGTTGTATTTTTGTTACTTATAAACAGTATACGTTATTAAATCCGATATAGCTATAGGAAAATTGTATCTTTTTTTCTCAGAAAAAAGTTTCTGTCCTAAATGGCGCTGACAAACGCAGAAAAACAACGTCGCTATAGATAAAAATTGAAACAAGGCCCGGTAAAAAATGCTGAAGCTGGATTATGAGAATTTCGTACCATATCTGCAAATAATTCTAATAATCCAGCCTCTATCTGGGCACGCTTACACCCAATAATTAGTGACATACAACATAACAATCCTAACATAACTACAATTCATTTTTTCTCCGATGGACCAGCTACTCAGTATCGAAAGAAGCAACATTTTTATTTCATTAGTCACCGAATATTCACTGAGTAAAACATCATTATACATCATACGCGCAGCAGCATACAACAAACATCATACGCGTTACATGGAATTTCTTTGAAGCTGGGCACGGCAAAGGGGCTGCTGATGGTGTTGGCGGCTATCTCAAACGCACTGCAGATAAAAAAGTTGCTGTTAGTTCAAATATTTCTAATGCAGATGAATTTTTTGACACCCTAAAAGACTTGAGCAAGGTCCGTTTTTACTTGGTGACACTGACTGACAGTGATATTCATAACATTGAAAAAACACTACCTGAAAGTCTAGTGCCACTTCAGGGTACGATGCAATACATCAGGTTTTTACTCACACGTTGGGTGAACTTCGCTAAAGAGACCTTAGTTGTTTTTGCAAGAGGGGCTTTTGTTAGTGCATGAATCTAAAAACATATAAGCCTGCATACAAACATATCCCATCATTGACACACGTAAAGAAGACGTTCCATTTGATGAATCGGATAATGATATAGTCCTTGATGACATTACTAATATTGTTGCCGTACCTTTAAGGTACGTATTACAAGATTTATTAGAAGTTTATTATTCGTCTTCTAGCTCTGACGAGAAGCCCTTATGAAGCTTGTGCTAAGTGTCAACATCTAACGTACACGAACACGCACGTGAAATACAGCAAATTGAAAAGGAAAATGTTCATCCTACGAAGATATATGAAGGTGTCCATGTTTTAGTAAAAGTTACTTATGTTAAGGAAAAATAATATACTTACCTTGGTGTTGTTAAAAGTAAAGTTGATGAAGAAGGGGACGTTAAAATTATGTTTTACAAGACAATTGACGACACTGGCAAAAGATTCAAAGCAGTAGATACCGATATATCTCACGAACCATACGAAAACATTGTAGAAATTGTCCCTAACCCCAAAGTTGTCGTGAAAGGTAAAAGATTATACTTCAATTATGACAAGCCAAAAAATTTCTGAAGAAAGACTGAAGATATAGTGCCTCATTAGTTTATACAGTTGATTTTCTCATTAAGGTATATTAATTCTTAACAAATATTGACGTAGGCAAACGTTTTATGTTACTTGAGGTACTTAATTTTATGTCGAGTCATGAACAGTTAAAATTGTTTTGTTATAAAGATCTCTATTAAAACTACAAAGTATAGTATATAAAAAATACTACTGTGTTACGAAGATTAATACTGCGTTACTTTTGTGTCCCTCTTGTTTTTATTGTATCTTTAATTATACAAAGGACTCTTATTGTCAAAAATGTCTTAAATTTATACGTACGTACTATTTATGACAAGAACAATACTATGTTGTCAATTGGAATTAATTTTAAGTTTATTTTTGTAATTTATGGAAAAGTTTAAGTTTTAATATTTAACATAGGTAACGCAGTGTATCTAATTAAACATGAATATTCGATGAAACTGATTATTTCTGTGATTTTGCTTTATAGGTGATTTATATAATCACTACAGTTTAAAACTGACGTATTATTAAGTCTCAATGTCCGATTTATTAAATAATAACCTCATCTGTAAAATAGTTACGCAGTTGTTTAATTTCTCGACAACTTGATGTATTATATGCTATAAATATTATTAAATCATTTAAACCATCGCTGCTGAGGTAGGTGTGTTATAAATAGAACTATAACATATCTATTTCAGCATTTAAAAAAAGGAAATTAAGTATTTCAATTTTGAAAAAAAAATCTGAATTGTGTTCTCGGATTAGGCACTTAAAAGTATTTTGCCCCCCCTTTTTTAAAAAAAAATAATAAAAAATAAAAAAAAAAAAAAAAAAAAAACCCCCCCTTTCTTTTTGGGGGGGGGGGGGGTCCCCCCCCCCCAAACAAAAAAAAAAAATTGTTTTTTTTTTTTTTTTTTTTGTGTGGTGGGGGGGTGAAAAAAAAAAAAAAACCCCCACCCCATCTTTCCCCGGCGTCCCCCGGGGGGGGGGGGGGGGGGGGGGAGGGGGGGGGGTTCTTTTTCCCCCCCCCCCCTTTTTTTTCCCCCCCCCCCCGCGGGAAACCAAAATAAAAAAAAAAAAAAAAAAAAAAGAAAGGGGGGGGGGGGTTTTTCCACCATGTTTTTTTTTTTTTTTTTTTTTTTCCCCCCCCCCCCTTGGGAGGCGTTGTGGGGTTTTAGACAACCCCCCTCGCCCTTCTAAACATCACGTGTATTTTTAGTACCTACAAAGAATCTTAAAATTTTCTGAATATTATCTTAATATAAATACAGGTATAAACTATAATCTTATTTTATTCTGAAATTAAGGACCATAATAAAAATGTCTACACCATTTGTTTAAAAGTTTGACGAACGAAAAATTGAAATTGAAAACGAAAAAATAAATACACGCGATATCTTACTACACTAACCCCTTGTGTTATTTTCGTCATTTTTTTTAAAATCCCTCCCCCACCTTTCAAGCCTCAGTGTGGGGCGGACCCACGACCCGTTGATTATTAGCGACCCCGTCAAATTTATTTTTAGCAATGGCTCCCAACATCACGGAGGAGAAATGCATAGAGTCCACAGAGGCTTCTATGGAGAAGTTGGTAGCGCCACAGGCTGCGCCCAGGAAGTACCGGTTGATCTACTCCATAAGTGCGTCATTGATCTACGCACACATTTGCTCTGCGTACGCGTTCTATCTAATAGCGACGAGACCATGCTGGGCTACCCTCTTCTTCAGTAAGTACTTCTTATTTATTCTTAAAGACTATCAACTAAGTAATTTTTATAATAGAGAACAGACATGGGGTTCGCTTGAGTGTAGACAAAACATCAGTTATATAACATCTAAACAAGATGCGCTGTTGGCCTATTTTTGATATTCGGAAATCCACAGACTAAAACCATGATATTATTACAGTTCACTACGACGACCCGGACGGACCCATTTAACAGCCAAATTTCCAGACGAAGTCCAACATTTTTCAAAAAAATAAAAAATATGATGAGAAACATGACACGGTAGGGATCGTACCCACAACGCGTTGATAGTAGCAAACAATAAATTTGTACACTCACACAACCTAGCGCATAAGTTTTTTAACTTATTTATAGGACAGAAACACATAAGAGAAAAAATATACCCATCTGTATAATATGTATACCGAAAAAGAAACGAATTACAAATGAAGTATGTAGTTACGCGAGTAACACATTTAAATAAAGTGGGGGGACGGTCTCTCCTGACCACTGCTGTAAAGCGTCCAAAAGTTAAAATAAATTGTAAATTTGATCAATTCAGATTTCACGTGTTAAACCGTTAAAAATTGTTTCATTTAAACGGGTTCTATATATCTATAGCCATATCTCGTTGTTACAGATTTCATTCTATTCGTGCTGGGACAAATAGGAGTAACGGGCGGAGCTCATCGTCTCTGGTCCCACAGGTCCTTCAAAGCGAAACTGCCTCTACAAATCATTTTGATGACTATGCACTCGATCTCCTATCAATTCACAATTATTAATTGGGCGAGAGATCACCGCATGCATCACAGGTAAGTTCAGCTATGTCTCTTTGGTTCCCACTGTTGGGATTATCCTGTTTCATAGGAGGGCGGGAAAGACTACCTACTACTAGGAAAGTGATGGCAATTAAGACAAACATGGTGTTGCTAAGAAACGAAAGTAACAAATAATTTAAAATTGAGCTACCGTGTAGTACACGTTATCGTCGAACGTTTTTGTTCACTAGCGTGAGAAAACATTTAAGTTTGCCGACTTTGATCTCTGTAATTTAACATGGAGCTTAAAAAACTTCAATGCTTTTAAAGAACAAAAACAAGAACAATATTTCTGTTTCTATAATAGTTTTAAAACAATTCGCTTTTAATGACAAGAAAACTTGATTGAGGGTATACGAGCCATATAATGTTTAAACAAGCCTTGTCGACCTCTTTAACTTTGGCGTTAAGAAATCCTAAGACTAAAGCCGAAACGCGATAAAAGAATATTTTTTCGCGCTCCTTCATAATTCACTAATTCTGTGTTCTCGTTTATCTTATACTAGCTGTGCCAGCGACTTCGTCCGCGAGAATCGTTATTTTTGCCATCCAAAATATTTTTTGCAAACCCCGCCATCTTAAACTTAAGCTGTTAGCTACGACTTCGATCGCGTACCTTCCCGTCGTTATTGCAAGTTAATCTTAAAAGATAGACATATAGCGTCGCGGACTTTTTTTAGATAATTAAAGAGGTATCATTCTTTTATACACATTAGGTACCTATCTAGAACCGTTTTCGCAGCGTACGCATCTGAAACCCACATAAAAGAAAAATTGCTCCCGTTTTGTTCACACTTCCCGCTGTATCCTTGCTTCTATTAGTCGCAGCGCGATGTGTTATAGCCTTCCTCAATAAATGCTCCAAACACAAAAATAATTGTTGAATTCGAACCTATAGTTCCTGAGATTAACGTTCAAACAAACTCTTCAGCTTTATATATTCGTAAAATATGTTTCTAGATACGTAGACACAGATGCAGACCCTCACAACTCAACGAGGGGCTTCTTCTATTCGCACATGGGCTGGTTGGTGGTCAGGAAACATCCGGAGATTTTGAAACGGTGCAAGTTTATAGACTTGAGCGACCTCTACGAAAACCCCGTTCTTCAGTTTCAAAAGAAGTAAGTGTTTTAGCAAAATTTTTGAAATTGTCACAAAATACTTCTTTTACAATAGAGGAGAACAACGACCATGGGGTCGATTGTCACTTGATTAAAGGTTTTACCCCAGCCATAAAAGATCTTGACAAGGTGCTTTATTGGCCTATTTCAATCTAGCCCAGGGCAGACAAGCGCAGGGATCTCTTAAAGGAACTTAAAATATTCTTAGCCTAGCATCTCAACAAGATTGTCGAGATGGTCAAGATTGACCCGGACGAAATTTGGATATTCCTACCACCTACCACCCAGAGGAAGTTTAAAAAATACAAATTGATCAGAACAATGTTGTACCTGTAGGAAATCGAATGTACGATCCGTGGGTTATTAGCCACAATTTGCTATCATAACATAACGACCGCTGTTTACCAAGTCTATGCTAATTGACTCGCACTTGGGTTTTTTAATCCATGACGTCACTATTTACAGATAAAAAAAAATTTTTTCGCCTTACAAGTGTTTTAACTCTTCCAGATATAAGATCCCCTTTATAGGCACCATGTGTTTCTTGATGCCAACAATAGTCCCGATCTACTTCTGGAATGAGAGCTTCAACGTTGCCTGGCACCTCTGCATCTTAAGATACGCCGTCAACCTACACGCGACCTTCACGATCAACAGCTTTGCCCATCTATGGGGTTATAGACCATACGACAAGAGCATACAGCCCGTTCAGAACGAATTCGTGAGTCTGGTAAGCATGGGCGAAGGTTTCCACAACTTCCACCACGTGTATCCTTGGGATTACAGAGCCGGTGAGTTGGGCAATAACATGTTGAACCTGACGACATTATTTATTGATCTCTTCGCGAAAATCGGTTGGGCGTATGACCTGAAGACTGTGCCAAAAGACCTGGTGGATAAGCGGGCTAGACGAACTGGTGATGGTACGGATCTGTGGGGGCGAAAATTGGAAGATGCGAACGAATTTTAGTCTTAGTTTAGAATGCGACGTCTAGTATTTTACGAGTAATGTACATATTTAAACACTTTTAACGGTTTGAAACGCGACGTTAAAATTATTTTTTACCAGATTCTTTGCAGCCGTGATGTCGGGTTATAGTTTAATTATTTTAAATATTGATATATACTGCATTTTGAACCGTTAAAGGTGTTATATTTAGTATTTTAGAAGCTGAATGTTCAGTGTTCCGTGCTGTTGCTTTTAAAATTGAGCTACCATGTCATGCTTTGGTCATCGAATTTAGTGAATTTAATGATAAAATAATTATAATGATGTAAGAGTATTGATTTAGTTATATGTCAAAAATGTACTGAAATTAAATAAAGTTTATTAAGTATATCATTTGTTTTTCTGTTATATAAACAACTGGAATGCATTTATCCCCTGATAGACAAATCTATAAGCTACACTTTATTGCCAGCAGGACAGCCACTTATAAACTTAACTTAATTGAAGGTTTATAGGTAACAATAACATCTAAACAGCCTTTTTGGTTTGGGCATTCGAAAATCCAAAAACTGAAAAAGCAAACGTGGTTAGGCTTAATGGTAACCTGGCGGAAATTACGATATTACGTAATTAATGTTTATCAGGGTAAAAGGAATATGTAGAAACATCTTGGACTCACTGGCAAGTAAAATAATGCAATCAAACAATGGCCGTCTGAGCACAGAGCACTCTCGCTATTTCATATATATATAACCTCCTCAGCAACATCACCCCCGTTGTTCTATCAAGGTAATTAAAAGATGAATTCTTTCATACATACTTTTTGGTTTTCTTCATACATACTTCAAAGATTTTCGTTTTATCCACATTTCCCACTGTTTCTTTGCTTCCTATTGATTGAAGCGTGATGTTTTACAGCCTAAAGCCTCGATAAATAGTCTAACCAACACAATTAAATCTAACTTTCCAATTGGAACCAGTAGTTCGTGAGATTAGCGCGTTCAAACAGACAAACTCTTCTACTTTACAATATTAGTATAGATTGCTGTATACTAAGTACTGGATTTTTTAATTTATACATTTATTTAGATTGGAAGAAGAACTCAATAAGACTGTTCAGCTTCTGTCCTATGGGGTATTGTTTTGGTCACGATGAGGTTAAGGTCATTGCAAGGTCAAGGCAAGTTGAACGTTAGTTTATATTCAAGGCACTACAAATATTGTATAGTTGAATACTGTTTGATCAATTGAAAAAACCTATTAGCGTTAGTTAACTAATTTATGTCAAAACATGTACATAACACCAAACTGTCATCTGGAAACGTAGATTCAAGGACTTCGTCCGCGTTGTATAGATATTTTCTACATAAGAATATATATATATTATAGCTGTTACCCACGACGTCGGTCGCGTCCCATCTTGCAAGTTAATTATAAAAGATAGACGTATACTGTCACGGACATTTTTTAAATGATTTAAAGAGGAAGAATCCTATCATAAATATCATTTTGGTATCTTGAACAGTTTTCATAGTTCACGCAACGCAAACACTGCAAAGATAAATATTATGCCGCGTTTTTTTTTTACATTTCCCCAATAAATGTTCAAACCAACACTTAAAATATTTTTTCAATTCGAACCTCTAATTTCTGATATTAGTGCGTTCAAACAAATAACAAACAACTTCAGCCTTGTAATTAGCCTTAGTATAGACTCGAGATGGGCCGAGTACTCCGTTGATACTTGGTATTCCGCGTACTTGGCGGGTTTTTTTAATACTCGTACTCGGTCGAATAACTTGGTTATGCTTTGTTATTTTATAACGAGTATACTTTGTTTAAGAAAAGCAATAAATTTAGGTCATCATAAATCAACAATGTATAATCCAAAAGTATTTATTAGTAATTTAGGAAACCTTTGCAAATCTCAAAGGTATGACTGGTAGTAGAAAGGCCTTGATAGAGTGTATCAAAGCTCTTTTTCGATGTGGCGAAGGCGTTCGACAAAGTCTGCCATAATGGTCTGTTATACAAGTTATACCAGATCGGTGAGCCCGACAGAATGGTGCGAATTATCCATTCATTCTTGTCGAATCGCTCCTTCCGCTTCCGCGTAGAGGGCGCCCTCTCTACACCAAAATCCCTTTGCTCAGGCCTTCCGCAAGAATCCGTACTCTCGCCAATCCTATTCTCGCTTTTTACTAGCGACATTTCTAAAACCGCCAAGGCCCATCTCGCGCTTTTCGCCGATGATACGGCCGTTTACACCACCGACTGCAAAACGCAGCGGATCGTCTCCACTCTCCAGACCGCGGCCGACGCCCTAGGCGCCCTAGGCTATTGAGTTATACTTATGTAGGAATTTATTTATCGAACGGTGTCCAGGATTTCAAAAAATTCATATAATTTTGAAAAAAAATATATATAACGTGGTATAAAAACTATTGGAATAGATTTTGCTACTGATTCTGACCAAACTACTTTCAGGTTTCGCATGAAGTAGGAATGTCCCTGCATATATATATATTTCTTATATTTAGTAATAATTTGCTAAGTAATTTTTTTATCTAAAATATATTAGGCTTCGGAAGTTCGGACAATATTGGAAAATTACATAAATGGATATGTGTAAATGTCCAAAACTATAATAAGTTTTTTTATACTAATGGAGGACAGACAAGTATGGGTGTATGATGGAAATTGATGTAACTCGATCATATAACAAATGAACAAGATGGGTTGTTGACCTATTGACTTTGGATGTGGGATTTGGGAATCTACACCGAAACGCGATTAAATTTCAAGTGAACCGGAAGGAACCAACAAGCCGGTCAAAATCATTGTTATATATCGCTGTTTCCTTGATGTAATTGTCTGTCCTCCTCTGTCATTTAAACACGATTAACATATGATCTATACTAATATATAAAGCTGAACAGTTTGTTTGTTTGTTTGAACGCGCTAATTTCAGGAACTACTGGTTCGAATTGGAAAATCCTTTTTGTGTTAATAAGAACATTTATCGAGGAAGGCTATAAGAATTCCCTCTGACTAATAGGAGCGAAGAAGCAGTGGGATACTAAAAAACGGGGGAAAATATCTCTGTGGGTCTCCGACGCTGCGAAAATGATTCAAGATACCCAAAAAATTGTGTATTAAATCTACGCGATCTAAAAAAATGTCCGCGACACTATATATAGCTATCTTTGAAGATTAACTTGCAAGAATGACGGGATCCGAACGACGGGTCGCGAGCGACGGGACGCGTCTGATGTCTATGTGGGATAGCAGTTTAAATTTATAAAACATGAAGAGGTTGGATGGACACAAAGTTGGATGCCCAAAGTAACTATTATATGCGGACGAAGTCGCTGACACAGCTAGTAGGTAATAAAATGGACATTTATTTTATTGTATAAAAACTGCAGATATAAAAGCAATAAAACGAATTAATACGATTATTTACTTTTTGTCGGCACAAAAATTAAATAAAGTAAAGTAAAATGTACAATACAATTATCAGAGTCATATTTTAAATTTACTCTTTGTCGGTACAAAAATTAAATAAATTAACGTAAAATGTACAATACAATTATAAGAGTCATATTTTAACATATCGAATTATATGGCTAAACATATTTTTATTGAGTTAAGAGTGGAAAGGCTCGTTTCTTTGTCAAAAATCAATCGAAAGTTGTTTTTGACAGGTTTTTTAAATATTAATATCACGCGACGTTTGTGATTGTCGCGTCGCGTGAGTCTCTTTTGTGGAGTGTGACGTCATATGATGGTAGCACGCGTTACCACAAAAAACAAACTCAAATTAGTCTTATACAAACAGTAAAAATTAATATTATTTTATAATAACAGCACATCTTAAATAGATATTATAGAATGTTTAGTACACATTCAAATTAAACACAATGTTTAATCTATACTAATATATAAAGCTGAAGCTATATTTCAAAAATGATTTTCTTTAAATGATCTAAAAAAAGTCCGCGACACTATCGGCCTTATTACAAAAAAATAATTCAACCAGAACTGCGTTGTCTTGCTTTAACTCTTAAACAATGGTCTAAATAAATCTAAGTTAGTCCAGTACAAACGTTAAACTTCGACTTGTAATAAGGGTTTTTAATAAACCAGGTTTGCGAGGTAGTCCTCGTTTTGTAATAAGAATGGAAATGTCAATCATTTACGTTTAACTTGCAAGAATGACGGGAAAGGACGCGCCCGAGGTCGTGCCTTAAGTTTATAAAGATATGAGGTTTCAAAAATGAATTTGATGCCTAAAATAACGATTATCGCGGACGAAGTCGCTGACACAGCTAGAGGTGAAATATATTTGTTAAATTATTTTGACCCCCATGACCTGTTTCTGCGACAAATTGAAAAAGATAACTAATATAGTTTCGAGTTTTAAACCGTTAAAAGTGTTTTATTTACATAACTTCGCATTTTGACAATCCTTTAGTAGTGTCGAGTAGCGGCCGGCAATAGTTGTATGAAAATCCAAATCTATTCTGTTTTGCAGTCAAATAAATTAGATTTAAAAATGGAACGATCTTTTCCGCAACATGGCGACCAAAGAGGTTATCAAAACCGTTGATAAGTCACATCTTTAGTAAATTTTCGAATTGGCTTGCACATTAAAAGCTGTTTAGAGAAAAAAAATTGGCACATAAAAATATTGTTAAAATTGGTTTTGTACTACTTAGTTTTATTTACCGCGCTATATTTGAGAAAATTAATATACAAGCCTAAGTCACACGTTTAGATACATAGATTTTTGGTTTCGTAAATTCTTTTCGCAGCACGCAACGGATACCCTCAAAGATCCCCGTTTGCTTCCCGTTTGTTCCACATTTCCCACTATTTCTCCGCGCCTATTGATCGTAGCCAGCACAACACACACATTTTCATAATTCCAACCTCTAGTTCCTAAGATTAACGCGTTCAAATTTTTAAGCTTTATTATATTAATTGTAAAACCGCATATCGTAGCTAGTCTAATTATGTTGGAATAGAACCGTTTATTTATTTAGAATCACGTGAAAATTAAGTGGTGTTTAGACATGGATACGAAGGGACAAATAACAAATAAATCCTAATGGATGCTTATTACTTGCGTTAATATTTGCTCTGACTAATAAATTCCTAGAGAACAACGATTGGCTGAACCGTTAAAGTGTTTTATTTAAACGTTTAGGTACTACTCGCGCAAACTATAGACATTGTTTAAACTCAATTTTTTTTAATAACAGTAAATATTTGAAAACTTTATTATTTTTTACTTGCTATTGCGCATGAAGGTACTATATAATTTAAAAATCGAAAATAAATTGAAAAAATTGTCCTGCCCGAGACGAAAATTTTTTCAATTTATTTTTTGATTTTTAAACAGTAATTATTCATGTTTATATCCAGTAAAGTAAGGAGACAGAGTTTATTACTTATTTATAATATTACTTTGTACTCTTAAGTACTGATATGAATAATCCTCCGACTTAGCGAGGACGACACAACACTAGTGCGACGCGATTCAGCAAGAGTTCAGCAACTGTCAAATACGATGGCGTGCATTTTGTCAACGAAGCCTAGTTTTGTCTAACAAATGAACATTTTCGAATGCAACATTGTGTTTCCGTCTTACTTTGATTTTGCATAGAATTCGGCACTCATTTGAATATCTATTCTTTTTAAGGCAAAGCAAAGCACAATTTTTGTTAACTTGGCTCCCGTTTTTACATTTATTGATGGCATGTATATAACTAGCTGTGTCAGCGACTCGCATAGAATAGCTATTTTGGGCATCAAAATATGTCCTTACCTTCTCATCTTTACAAACTTAGGCTGTTACCCTCGACTTCGTCCGCGTCCCATCGTTCTAGCAAGTTAATCGTAAAAGATATGTATATCTATATAGCGTCGCGAGCTTATTTTTACATCATTTAAAGAGGAATATTTTTTTAAGTATCATGAACATCAAGTTTTTGCAGCGGACGCCTCGGAAACCCACAAAGATGAATATATGATAGATAATTTTCTCCGACTTTTACGCATTTTCCGCTACTTCTCCGCTCGTATTAGTCGCAGCGCAACGTTTCATAAAGCCTTCCTCAATACTCTAACCGGCAAATAAATAGATTTTCAATTCCCACCAGTAGTTCCTGAGATTAGCGCGTTTAAACTAACTCTTCAGCTTATAGATTAGTATAGATTTAATATAAGTAAATACTGTCGAATTTTAGACTGTTAATAAATTACATATTGTATCTCTTATTAAGTCTGTACCAAAAACTATGTTTGCTATATGAATTTAGGGCTTACCCAAAATAGTATATAGACACAGCTCCTTACATTGTTAATATTATGTTTTTCGTACTTTTTTAATACCCGTTGGTAAGGCTTTTCTCGAATTAATAAATAAAACACTTATAACGCTTTAAAACGCGAAATATTAGTTAAACTTACTTATACCGAGAACTAGAGGACATCGTTAGTCACTTCTGTAAGGATAGAGCCAGTTTTGTCAAGTGCCAACTATGTATAAGAAACAGATGGCGCTAGCATAGCACGTTTTTTACGTTGACAATAGATACGTCTTCCATCTTCACTCCCTCCGTGACCACGGCTGCTGCAAAGTTTTCGAAACGTCGGGACGCAGTTCAATTAAATGGTAAAAAAGTTAAACTAACTTAAATAAAACACTTTAACGGTTTAAAACGCGATATATTAGTTAAACTTATTTGAAAATGATTTTTAACTTCTAACTTCTAACTTCGAAACGTCGGGCCGAAGTTAAAAATCATTTTCAAATAAGTTTAACTAATATATCGCGTTTTAAACCGTTAAAGTGTTTTCTTTAAGTGTGTACTACTCACGTAAACTATAGACAGTATTTAAGTTAAACTAAGTTAAACATTTCACATTTTAAACCGATAAGTTAAATGTCCAACATGTTTCTAATTAATTTATATTTTTTTCTAACACATGACGGACTTCTGTTTTAAAAACTGGTTGCTAATCGCGTTTCGGTTTCCGCCTTTTTATGTCTCAAGCCACAATAGGTTAAGAAAACATTTATTTATAACAGCGGAGAAAAGTCAAGCATGGCGCTTAGGTACTAGATGGGAGGCGAAATCCACCAACCATATGACATCTAAGCTAGATGCATTGTCGACTGAATGTAGTTTTAAAATATTATAGATACTGTCTGTAGTTTATGCGAGTAGTACACATTTAAATAAAACGGTTTAAAACGCGATATATAGTAAAACTTTATCTACGGCAGTCGTTTCGGACGCTTTGCAGCAGCCGTGGTAACGTGGAGGCGAAGCATCCGAAACGCCGTCGTCCGAGTTTAACTAATATATGTATATCGCGTTTCAAACCGTTAAAGTGTTTTATTTAAATATTTAGGATTATAGGAAATATCAGTGAAATAAAAGCAGTTATTGTAATAAAAATCATTTTATTTCGTTTAACCTAATACAACGACACATCTCAATATATACAATATAAAATGCTACACACAAGATCTATAACATTTGGCCTTCCAATTTCGCCGCTTTTCATAATTAAAAAATGGTGGTACCATGATATTTCAAATTTATTAGAAAGATCGATAAAAGCTGTCGTACTCATTGTCTGTCCTTTACAGTACATTCAATAATTCGCTTCTAACGGTTTGAAACGCGAAATATTGGGTAAATTTCGATTGATTTGAAATTTCGCTGTTTAACTATTAGAAATGACTTATTGAAATAATACACAAATTAATCACCGAAAATGCATTTTTGAAAACACTCCAATGGTTGAACACACGACATGCGTTAGATCCAGCGGGTTTGAGTTCGAAATTCGGGAAATCAACAGTGAAAGTGAGAATGATGACGTTTACGTCAAAATAAATCTTTAAACCAATGATCAGCGATGTTATTTATAATATGTCTTTTTTTTTAATTATATTTTTATAATATGTCTTTATTTAATTATACTCCGCCATTAATATATAATGCAAACATGACATCTCCAAACCATTTTTTTTACTGCAATTTCATTTATTTCTGAGTAACTCGCATGCATTTAAAAATGGTTACCATGGTAACCGAAATCCAATATGGCGGCGGACATGGCGATCTGCGCAATTGTTCTCACTATTATTGTTATATTTTTAACGATACGATAATTATGAGTGAAAATTACAATATTGGTGGCCAATTTGAAAACAAAATCACTACCACGCTACGAAGTCTCGTCGAAATCTAGCGAAATTTCAACAACACGAGCATTTTGTTAACCTACAAGGATTCGTACAGCGTCGCGTCAGCGAAGAATAAGAAGAGTTACATTTTTTGGACATTAGTTATACTTTGTCCAACATAGGATGGTAAGTTTGACAATTTTCGGTAGGTAATAGTGCAGTCTTTCTTATAAAGCATTCATGTGGTGTTTGTAAGTAATAAAGTTTAATAAATAAATAAAGTGAATGGGGAACCATAGACATTTAAAAAAACGATACTTAAATGAGACTAAAATAACATTTCACAAATTATAATACTTGAGTTACATATCTATGATTTAGATTATAAATATTTTAGATTTAGGTGTAGGTAAGCTAAAAGACATCGTTTTTATTGACACTTTGCAAATATGCACAGATTAATAAATAAATTATTGTAAAAGTTTATATACAGCCGCCAGAATTCTTGTATATCAACTGTCAATGCAAACTTCTATGAAATAAACAGTATTCCTTAATTAGTATAATTCATTGTCAAACTCACCATTCTAGATTAGACAAAGTATAAATGCGAAATCAATTATGCAACAAAATACACAGGCACAGGGGGTTATATACAGAATAGGTTTTAGGAAAAAATCATACTTCAAAGGAGAAGAAACTTAACGAAGAAAGACTGAATAAGTAAGCAAAGTAGTATATATCTATATCAAACTTTGCTTTTTTCTTTGACATAAAAACTTTGAACAGGGTTTTAGAAGAATATAGACGCTGGCAACCTTTCATATAATCCAAATTGTGAGTTCCGTACCAATAATTTTTATACATGATTGAAAGACACAAAAATAGACCCGATTGAGGGTTAACTTTAACGGTTTAAAATGCGAAATATATCAGTTCAACTTATTTAAAAACCCTTGCGGTATGCGAACACTTATGTAAAGGGCCCAATCCTCGCTTTAATAAACCAAAAACCCTCTCAAAGGCATAGTACGCGAAGCAATCGAAATGAAGAAACACAAAAAATGGAGAAGGAAGGACGGCCTTATGTTATCAAATACCTGGGATCCCATAGTAACTTTCGAATCCAAAAAAACGCGAACACCGTTAGTCAATATAGCATGGGCCGGGCCAGTGTCGATAAATACCAACTACAACAGTCGGCGCTGGCGTGGCTCTTTTTACTCTAGACATTAGAGACACCCTCCATTTTTAGTCCCCCCGTGACCACGGCTGCTGCGAAGCATCGGAAACGTCGGACCGTAGTTAAGATAATTTTTAAATATGTTTTACTAATATATTTCCAAGGACAATATCCAATAATTACATCACACCACTTCTACTACAAGTCTTAACACTGTATTCTGCGTTCTAAATGCGGATGAGGCTCCAGCATAACTTTATCCCAGCATGAGCAGCATGAGGATACCCCATGCGAGCTATACGTCCCCACCTGTTTCTTCGTCGCAGACGATTTGATAGATTATCAAGTACTCGGGGTAAGCCTGGAACGAAATTTGTACGGAATCAAATGCATATTAGTTTCAAATTCGTTCTCTTGAACACAGATCTCCCTTGCTGTTCCAAAACAGGTTGGTAGGCAATCAACTGCCGCTATATTAGTCGTGATAACTGGAATCCACGGATTAGCGCGCTTTCAAGGTTTTATTCTTTTAGTAGTTATTACATACTAAAAATTAAAATATTATAAAGTAAATTTAAATCAGTTTTTTCTTTTTACGTATATCAAATGGCACTATTTGTTTGGATTTTATAAGGTTATATCATCACCGTGCTCCCCTGTCCTCATCTATCATAAAAAAAAATAGATTATGAAAATTATAAAACTACCCACCTGTTCCCCTCTATACACGACATATTCGGGATAGTAGAGACCACCGCTAGTCGGTCTGCCTGCCACGCTGTGATGGCCGGGCGGCGCATGCGCCATCTTCATTGCACTAGCCAATTGGAACGCGCGGCCGAGCGTCACTCGGCAAAGCAGCATTTGTCTGAAATGAAAAATCGACTTAGATACAACGTGTTAAGGTTGAAATGACATTGCGGACATCACAGGACGGGATGGGATCCGCAATCTTCAATCTGTTCGGACGGCTAGGGCACAGAGGGCTTACCGACTTGGCTATTAATGAAAAGCGAACAGAAATTGTAGGGTGCCTCATGTTGTATGTAAGGAAGATGAGATGCAAGTAAAAAGCACTGTCTGTCTGAGACTAAAAATTTTTAGTCTGCTAGACGACGGCTGCTGCTAAGAATCCAAAACGTCGGTCCGTAGTTAAAATAATTTTCAAACATATTTAACTAATATATATATCGCGTTTTAAACCGTTAAAGTGTTTTATTTAAATCGATCATAAATTTTTAAAAATACGACACGGGCAGGACTGTAAGGAAACCTGTATACTTGCATGTCTCACGCAATTTTAAATTTGTTACTTTTCACGTGTTGGTTACCCTGTATGCTGCGGGGCACCCACAAGGTTCAAGGTCCCGCCCGCGTATTTATATATCTTAAAAAACAAAACTCACCTATGACATAGATAACAACTTCTATCCTTATGCGCTGGGCAACCAGAGCCACCACCGAAACCATAGACATACTGGTTACTCTTGGAGGAATGTTCCGCGAAGTATATACCGGCGCCAAACATTCCACCTGAAAAAATATTTGACGTAAAAATAAATAAAATGCTAATGGTAGCGCAAAAAAACATTTTTTTCTATAAGAGGACATACAAACATGGAGTACACTAGACGAAAGCTGTAATACCCTAGCCATATAAAATCTAAACATGACGCGCTGTTGGCCTATTTTGGGATTCGGCAATCCATCAAAAATATTAATTTTATTTCGGTTTTTTGTATTTGTATTTACGGCAACAATAATACATTACTGAAAAGAACACTTTTAACGGCTAAAAACGGGAAATTTATGAATTAATTTACTATAAATTAAGTAAACCATACGTTTCGGATGCTTTGCAGCAGCCGCGTTCACTGGAGTATATGTTAACTATATTATACAAAATATTTAACGTTTTAAACCGTTAAAAACGTTTTATTTATATTGCGTATAGAAAATAATTAATATATCATTTGTAAAAAAATTCAATCTCTAGCTATCGCGGTTTTTAACACCGTATTTAGAGACAGACAAAGTCTCAACCCTTCGAGTGAGGAAACCCTAGAAGGGGCCACATCTCACACTCACGCGCACTTAAACTACTTACCGATATACGCGTGTCGTTCATCGAATCCCTTCTGAACGATAGCGTTGATGAACGGCGAGCCGTGGAAAAGCATTCGTTCGCTCGCGCCACCGGATTCTTCGCTGACTTCGCTGCGCCGGCGCACGTAACGCTCCCAAAGGCGGCCGTTGACAATTTTTTGTATCTGAAACGAATTATTACTTAAATAAAACACTAACGGTTTACTCGATATGTAATAGTTACAGAACCGTGTTTACGGTGGCTGCGAGCCATTTATAACATTGGTTCTCAACTTAAAAATAAGTTTAACTAATATATCGCGTTTTAAACCATTAAAGTGTTTTATTTAAATGTGTACTACTCGCGTAAACTACGGACAGTATGAATTATTATTGTTAGTTATTAGTATAGGTCGAAATGTGTGTTCTGTAGCTTAGTGGTATAGTACACATTTATAATAAACACTTAAAAATTTAAAGTCTGTAAATCCAAAACTAAATAGGTCGACAACACAATTTGTTTAGCTGTTATAAGGCTGGGGTATTTCCCCTGTCATCAAGTGAACGATTGTCTTGTATTCTATTTTTTAAGTTAAAAATCATTTTCAAATAGGTTTAACTAATATATCGCGTTTTAAACCGTTAAAGTGTTTTATTTAAATTTCTGATATCTAGTTTGTCGACTATCCTATTGTACCAACTGTAAGTTTCCACACGTGAACGATATCGTAAACAACGGCACGCGACCGATATCGTGGGTAACAGCTGCAACTTATAAAGGTGAGGAGGAGGTTTGCAAAACGAAATTTTACCAATTAAACAATTCCACGCGGACAAAGCCGCGAACACAGCTGTTATTAACCCGAAAAGACTACCTACCCTTTTTTTTTAAACTGATGAATGCCTAATGCACACCCACGTCGGGCAAGTGTGGCGTGGGGAGTGTGGTAAATCGTATAGCCGACCAGAACCACGAAACACACCACCAGCCCTCCACGGTGCTTAGAGGGAGCCCAGGAAGACTACTCACCTTAACAACATTGTATCTAGTGAAGTGGCCACCTGCGTGGTCACGGTGCGCACGCACAGACGCCTGCATCTCCCTCTCGATCACAGAGTATTCGCTCTCTTCGCACTCTCCCGTTGCAGCTGTCACGTCCACTAGTGTTGTACCGCCGTACCATTCTGAAACAAAGTTATACGTACTATAGTTTACGCGAGTAGTACACATTTAAATAAAACACTTTAACGGTTTAAAACGCGATATATTAGTTAAACTTATTTGAAAATCTCCCCGTGACCACGGCTGCTGCAAAGCAACCGAAACGTCGGGCCGAAGTTAAAAATCATTTTTAAATAAGTTTAACTAATATATCGCGTTATAAACCGTTAAAGTGTTTTATTTAAAAGTTATACGTGTCTAAATACTGTCTGTAGTGACGGGCTAGTTGGTAGTAAGCATAGTTAATAATCAACGGGTCGCGGGCTCGATCCCCACCGGGTTCAAAATATTTCAAATTTTTCAATTTGTAATTTTTCTGAAACATGCTGGACTTCGTCTGGACATCTGGACATTAAATGGTCGGTAGGAATATAGATCTTCCGTCCGGGTCCAACGAACCACCGTCCACAGATAAAATAGCCGTGAATCTCAATCGCGTTTCGTATCTTAATCACTTTGGATATTCGGAAATCCATAGACTGAAACTATGGATTTCCGAATATCCAAAGTTAAACCATCAAGTGAACCAAGCCAAGTCTGTCCCTCTCTATCATAAAAAAAAAAAACATTTTTTTAAAACTAAATATATACGTTTTATTAAAGTTGAGCTTATCAAAATGTCTAACTGTATGGAGCATGTAGGACCAGGTGGGGACCGATGACACTTCGTACAATGTAACTTCAACCTTAACACCAACACCGGATTGAGGTCCAAAGTCTTATCCTCAACTCTACCTGAATGTGACTGCAAGCTATGCCTTGCCGCCTTCATCAACCTATGTCGGTGCCCGTACGCAGCTACGCCGATCGCTCGCAGGTCTTCGTGAGACATTTCCGACAGGATGTCCACTGTTATCTGCTCTCGCTCCAGCACCGGAGCAAGTTGTTCCAGGCCGATGCTGCAAGATTCGGTAATGTTTATGAAAATTAAATAAAAAAGCCTATATTAACATCTTTGCTATAACAGATGTGGATCCCGAGATGCAGGCCTTCCCAAATTCAAATCTCGTGTAATTATAATAATAAATTCAAAATAATTTAATTATTGCATTTTTGGTCATTTCGTTTTATTTAAATTACTCTATAATTTCGTATCAATAAAACACTTTAACGGTTTAAAACGCGATATATATTAGTTAAACTTATATAAAAATATTTTAACAACGGCCCGACGTTGCGGATGCTTTGCAGCAGCTTGGTGGGCCGTGGGGAGACATAATTTTTGAATAACTATAACTAATGTATGTTATAGCTCACCTCGTTAGGAAGGTATGTAATGACTCTGAAGTGGAGAGAGCTGATGCCGGTCTACCAGCTGCGTCTTCCAAGCTGCCCCTCGAACCTTCCGACCAGTAGTTACTAGCCATCACCTGAAAGAGAGAGTATTGTAATTAATTTCAGGAAAGAGTATTCACTTACTATTTTATATGTGACTATAAGAAATGTGTAATGAAATGTTTAAAATAACCAAAAAAATACTTGTAACGGTTTAAAACGTGAAATGTATCATTTAAACATATTTTAACTATGGACCTTCGATTAGAACGCTTTGCAGCAACCGTGACCACAGTATTAGTATTACCGCAGCTTAACAATTTGTAAATGAGTTAAACTTTTCGCATTTTAAACAGTTAAAAGTGGTTTGATGTATACGTTTACTTAAATACTGTCTTTTAAGTAAACGTATACAACAAAACTAGACTAATACAAGGATAAATACTGTCTATAGTTTACGCGAGTAGTACACATTTAAAAAAAACATGCTAATAAAAAAAAAGCAAACGAAAAGTCGGGTCGCAGTTAAAAATCATTTTCAAATAATTTTAACACATATATATAGCGTTTTAAACCGTTAAAGTGGTTTTTTTTTAATAATACAAGGATAGGCCACCTTAAAATAAAAATTACATTAAACTTCTAACGCTAAATCAAAAAAAATCATAATTTAATAAGCAAAGAAAAAATACGACAACAAACTCACCGGCAACGGTAGAGGTACAGTATCCCCACTCGGCAAGAGCACTGGCAGTTGTGGTGGGGGTAGGAGCGAAGCGGTGGGGGGAACGGAAATTGTGCTCTCCGTTTCAGCATTGACGCCAGCGGCTCCTGTCATCGCATCAGATAGCAGTGATCTCACGTCATCCGCTCCAGCTAATTCTAAAGCTGTTTGACCTTCTTGGTTCTTGAGGAATGGGTCTGCCCCATGAGCCAACTGTAAATTTTTAACGGTTTTTTAACAACTTTTTAACGGTTTAAAACGAGATATATTTTAGTTAAACTTTTTAGAGAATTATTTTTAACTACGGGCCGACATGTCGGATGCTTGGCAGCAACCGTGATAATTCTCATAAAAGTTAAAATATATCGCGTTTTAAACCGTTAAAGTGCCTTATCTAAATGTGTACTACTCGCGTGTAACTACAGACAGTATTTATTGTAGTTATTTCCAAACTATTTTTAAATACCGAGGTTTCGTGGTACGTCCAAGTAAAATCCGTGTTCCGTGGGTACTTTTAAACCGTTAAAAGTGTTTTATTCAAATATGTTACGCGTAACTACACTACTGAATCAATTTTACTTTGACACACTAGTGAACATTATTTTTATGTTTAAAATTAAACACAGGTTTTTGAGTTTAAGAGTAAGTGACACAATCGGGAATCGAATCCATAACATTGTTTGGTGCTGAAGCTGCCAATGAAACATCGGTAAATAGTTATTGTTTGACTTTATAGTCAAACAATAACTATTTACCGCCAATCGCTGTTCGTTCCATTAGAGGATCAAACATTTTTTTCAGAAAACGTCTAAAGTAAAGTTTACTGTTGACACATACTTAATTCAACAAGAAATAATTAAATAAAACACTTTAACGGTTTAAAACGCGACATATTAGTCTCCCCGTGACCACGGCTGCCGCAAAGCATCCGAAACGTCGGTCGGGCCGAAGTTAAAAATCATTTCCAAATAAGTTTAACGAATATACCGCGTTTTAAACCGTTAAAGTGTTTTATTTAAATGTGTACTACTCGCGTAAACTATAGACAGTATTTAAGAAACAATTAGTGCCTTTCAAGTACTAAAACTGTGTCGCAATATTGTTTGTTTCAAAGCGACACGTTGCGCCGTCGCGTGACGTCATATGTGGTCATATTCGCACTTGTCTATCAGTTGCACTCAGTTATTGCCCACGAATGACGTCATACATTGTGATTATTTTATAAGTGTATAAATAAAAAATATCGCAGTTAAGTACAAAATCACTATCCAATCCCCCCTTTATAACAATTAGTAAAAATGATACATACCAATAAAGCACACAACTGCGTCCTAGCTTTGTGGGCAGCCTCATGGAGGGGGGTGAACCCCCAACGGTCGGCCGCGTTCGGGGGCGTCCCCGCGCGCAATAGCAGCGCCGCTACCTCCAAATGTCCGTATGACGCCGCATTGTGGAGGGGCACTAGCCCCCCCTTGTCTCGGGCGGACACGGCAGCGCCGGCTTCTAGTAACGCTTCGGCTACCTCTAGATTGTTGTAGCCAGCTGAAAAGAAATGTGTTATGTAGAAGATTAAGAAGGAGAGATAGAGAATATTTTTTAACAGACAAACATAGGATTCACTCGATAGAAGGTAATATACCCCAGCTACACAACGTCTAACCTAAATATGCTGTCGACCTATTACGGCTTCAGATATTCGGAAATCCACAGACTGAAAGCGAAACACGATTAAACTAGACTAGGCTTAAACACTGTCTATAGTTTACGCGAGTAGTACACATTTAAATAAAACACTTTAACGGTTTAAAACGCGATATATTAGTTAAACTTATTTGAAAATGATTTTTAACAGTTTCCCCGTGGCCACGGCTGTTGTAAAGCATCCAAAACGTCGGGCCGAGTTAAAAATCATTTTCAAATAAGTTAACGAATACATCGCGTTTTAAACCGTTAAAGTGTTTTATTTAAATAGACTAGGCTTTTTCATCTGTGGACGGTTGTTCTGGACGAAATATCGACAGTTCAACCACCCATCCATCCATAGTAATATCCAGATTTCCAGATATAGTCCATTCATTATAAGACCCGTGGACAAAGGGGGGTGGAATCTATGTTGATTATAAGCCATACATTGCTACTGTTAGACCAACGACCCAGTCCAAAGTATATTGTTATATGGTATACAGAGATCGTAAACACACGATCAGGGAAGCAAAACATTTTTATTGAGGTACTTATCGGTTACTTGACTGCCTCTGTAGCCAAATGGTTAAACGTATTGCCTAGCATGCATTCCTCGCGAGAGGTTCTGGCTTCGAATCCCAGGGAAACAAAAAAAATGTATCGGTCGGGCAGGGCACAGAAGTCTGATCAACTACTTGCCTGTTAAAGAACGGATCAGTGAAGCGGACACCGAAATGTGTTCGCCCCATGCCCCACGAGGGGTTAACGGGATTTGACACACACCTATCGGTTTATCATTAAACTGATAATAATATTTATAATTCTCACTCGTACATACCAGCGAGGTGTAATGGCGTAGAGTTTCTGCCGTGCGCATCGCGACAGTTCACATTTTGGGGCGTAATTAATTTCCTGTAACAATTTAATAGACACACATACAAAATGAAATCTGTATCATATGATAAATAAGAAAATAACTACAATCAAAGGTATTCAGTCTGCAGTGTATACAACAAGTACACATTTATAACGGTTCAAAACGCGAAATATTTAAGTTAACTTATTTTAGCTGCGAACCAACGTTTTCTGTTTTGCAGAGGCCCCTCCGTAGTCTCTCCGTGATCACGGAAAATTACACTTTGGCCCGACGTTTCGGATGCTTTGCAGCAGCCGTGGTCACCGGGAAACGTCGGGCCGAAGTTAAAAATCACTTTCAAATAAGTTTAACTAATATATCGCGGTTTAAACCGTTAAAGTGTTTTATTTAAATGTGTACTACTCGCGTAAACTACACACAGTATTTAAGTAACCACTATACAAAAACTTACACTTACCTAGCTCTAGCGAGATCTCCCCTCTTAGCCGCGTCCAATAGAGCCGCGTCTCCCCGCAAGGCATCAGCCGTATCGCTGTCCCCTGCCCTCACCAGCTGCAGCGGGGTCAAACCGTCGCGATTCCTTCGCGTAGGATCTGCTCCGTGCTGCCACACAATACTTAAGTTAACAAAAGTTCTGACTAGTAGTAGAAATAAATAGGCTTTTATTATAGAGGAGGACAGACTAGCATGAGGTTGTTGAAAGGTGAAGTACCGCATCCATATAACATGTAAGGTAGATGTGCTGTCGTCTTATTTTGCCTTTGGATGTTCAAAAACCCACAGATTGAAGCCGCAACGGGATTAAATTCCACTCTATAAGGGACCGTTCAAGTATTACGTAAGCACTATAGGGGGGGTGGGGGGGGGGTCTTTGTTTTGCTTATTTTTGATGACATGGGGGGTAGGGGAGTCCAGATGATGATTACGTCATCGATATTTATTTACTTTATGAATCAACTCGCTCTCTTATTTTTAAAATTATACTTATAATATAAGAAATACATTTTTTAATTGAAAAATGTTTACGTAAGCACGGGGGAGGGGGTAAAAGCTTTGCTTACTTTTGCTGTCAAGGGGGGGGGGGGTAAATAATTGTAATAAATCTGCTTATGTAATACTTGAACGGCCCCTAAGGCGGTTAACTAATACCATAAAAACATTGAAGTTCTTAAAAACAATAATAAAGTAACTTGCAATATATTTAAATAAAAAAAAGACACGGGCGAGATTTGAACCGGCATCCACAGCATCCCGTGCTGCTGCTCTAACAAACTGAGCTTCCGTGTCATATAATCGTCGCATTTAAAAAAATAATTTAAAAAGTAAAATTCGCATTTAATCTGTTTAATTTTTTTTTATATTCAAATCAATTCGTAAAAATATACTATACTTATATATACACATAAGGCTTACTTAATTCTGCACCATTCACACACTCAACATATATTTGAAGAGATAAAAGTGAGTTGAAGAATAAAAAAGAGGGGGGAGGGTGCGGGAAGGGGAAGAGAGGGTAGGATTGGTGGGGGGAAATGTAAGGGGGCGAGAGGGAGTGTTTGAATGATATAACATACATTTGTGTGTGTGTGCATCTAACCTTCAGTAGCAGTCGTACGATGTCAGCCTTGCCCTTCGCAGCTGCTTCGTGGAGGGGGGTGAACCTCCATAGATCCGCCGCGTTCACTCCAGCTCCCGCGGAGACCAGCAACTCGGTCACCTCGAAATGGCCGTAGGAACACGCGTTGTGTAGTGGCACTAGCCCGCTGGTGTTCGATAAAAACTCATTATAATAAACGTAATTCAAAATCGTTTATAAAAAAAAACTAAGACACGGTCTGGACTTGAACCGGCGTGAACAGCGTTCCGTGCCGTTGCTCTAACCAATTGTGCTAACGTGTCAATTATGTCAATGAATGATAATCAGATATATTTCACGTTTTAAACCGTAAAAAGTGTTTTAAAATGTGTACTCCTCACGTGAACTACATATACTACTAAATGCATAATTGGTGAATATTTCAACTTTCCAGCTATCTCGATTCTTACGAAACAGACAATATTTACTTGATTATTGATCATTCTATTAAATGTATAGAAAAAAAATGTCAATTTGATAGTATCACTAGCTTCCCACCCCGGCTTCGCTTGTGTGCAATGCTTATACTTAATACACTACAAAAAAACTGTGAACGTTGTATAAAACCTTGCCCTTGAATCGCTCTATCTATTAAAAAATCGCATCAAAATCTGTTGCGTTGTTTTAAAGATTTAAGCGTACATAGGAACAGAAAAAGCGACTTTGTATAAATGTAATGATAAAGAGGATAAAAATACAAACCCCTTATCCTTAGCGTGAACGTCAGCGCCTCTTTGCAACAAAAGCTGCGCAAGCGGCAATCTATTGTACCTGCAAAAAAAAAAACTATTTTAAACTAAAAATGTTCGAAAAAACAACTTAACATCAACTAAAATAAATGAAAATAAACATACATACGTGATTAAATATCAAAATTATGAAAGTTTAAATGAAACACGGATTAAAACGCGAAATATATTAGTTGAACTTGACATTTGAAGTAGTAGTAAAATTATTAAGAGATGCGCCGAGTAACGAGTACCGAGTTTTACAAGGTTCAAGTTTTTCTCAACCGAGTACTCGGCTGAGTAACTCGGTTCACACAGATTTTCGTTTCGTGCGCGTAAGCAAGTACGAACAGGTTGGCGTCGATCAAGACGTGGGCTCAATTATCTTCTCGTAGTTTTGTCTCATTACTATTTATTAATTCACATAAATTTGGTTTAGTTAATTGACATTTTCAAAAATTTCCTAAATTACCAATAAATACTTTTGGTTTAAACCGTTGTTTTAATTATATCTACCCAAATATATTGCTTTTATTAAACAAGGTATACTCGTTATCAATTAACAAAGTATAACAGAGTCATTCGGCCGAGTGCGAGTATCAAAAAACCTGCCGAGTACGCTGAGTACCGAGTATCAAGTGAGTACTCGGCCCATCTCTAAAAATTATTAAATCTTACCCTGCTGCAAAGTGTAACGGAGTCGAATGCCGTCCATCCACGTCCCGGCAATTGACCAGCCTCGGTCTTGCATCCAAAATGGCGCGGGCAGTCTCCACATCGCCAGTTCTTGCTGCTTCTAGAAGACGCAGCGCCGCCGCATTCGAACATGCATCTGAAACAGAAAACGTAATCTTTACTAACTATAACCTTCCCGGATAAATGCTCTAACCAATACGAAGAATTTTTCAATTCGAACCCGTAGTTCTTGAGATTAGCGCGTTCAAACATACAAACAAACTCTTCAGCTTTATATATAACTAGCTGGTGCCCGCGACTTCGTCTACGCCGGATTAGGATAACGTAGTATCGCCCATTTAAACTAAATGATGTCTTTCATATCATACATTACATAATTGTGTGTAACTAACGTTTATGTCAGCGCTCGCCTGAATAGCTCGCAGAAAGGTAGGTTTTTTCCTAGTTACTTGACACTTAATGTCATATTTTGGACAGCTCAAACAATATCTTTATAAATTGTAACCTATGTGTTATTCTGATGTATAAGCTATATTATTGGAAAGTATAATTAAAATCCATTCCATAGTTTTTGCGTGAAAGTGTAACAAACATCCATCCATCCACACATACAAACTTTCACGTGTATAATATTAGCAGGATTAACAATATTGTATAGTGTGTAATAAATAAGTAATAGGTGTGTAAACAGCCTTACCGTGCTGCAAATGCTGCGAGTCGAGGGTGTCCGCGCCGCACGCTAGGAGCAGTCTGCATGCGGCGGCCGAGTCTCGCCTAGCTGCTAGCGACAGAGCGCTTTCACCACGCCCATCACAAGCATTCACCTTTGCACCTAGAGACATTTAGAATGTAATTTCGTCCCATACCCCAGTCTGGGGCAAAAGGGTAGTGTCTAGTATAACCTTAAAGAAAAAGTTAAATCTTGTCCGTTCTACTGATAGGTTTTATAAGCCTGTCGGACCGAAATAATCTGTTTCTTTCGTCACGGAGGGATTAAAGACGGAAATGTCAAAGTATATTTTTATAATATAGGACAGACAAGACAAGGTCCATTCATTTATACCTGACTTAAAGACCTGTTGAATAGATTATATCGTAATCTAGAATAATCGTAGCCTTTTGCTACGATTACAGCAACGCGGTCTCGTTGGTAAAATAAATCCAAGCCAAGGTAAAATAACTACTAAACCGTTTAATACACCGTTATTTGACACCAACTTCAAAAAGACTTGCACTGAATTAACTCGGCGAGGTGATAGTAGAAGTGAGTTATTAGGGAAATAAAATATCTCCCTAATAACTCACTCCTACTATACTATAGTAGGATTGAGTTAGCATACTGACCATGCCTAAGTAGAAGGTCCATAGCGTCCAAGTGCGAATGCTCAGTCGCCACGTGCAGCGGTGTCTGACCGGTGTTGTTCTTCTCGTTGACCCGAGCGCCTTTTCGTATCAAGATCTCCATAACCTGATCGGAAGAATCGGTTACACACTGACTGTGGTGTACATAGTGTACATTTAAATAAAACTCTTTTAACGGTTTAAAACGCGAATTTTTAAAACTTTTTTTAACGTTTTTTAAGCTTTGCACCTGCCGTGGTCACCGGGAATCCTCAGGCCAAAGTTTGGGTTAAAATTTGGGTTATAAAAAACTTTTGCAACGGTTTAAAACGCGAAATATATAACAACAATTTATTTAATATAAAGTAAATTTCAAAGTTAAAATAGGTAGACTGCGCATCTTGTTCAGACCTTCCAATAAGTGAACCCCTCCTCCCGCTCCTTTATCCTCCTACATCATAAAAAGACCCACCACGCTGTTCCACTGCAGGTTAATGGGCTTTAACGACTACATAAGCGATGATCAAGAGATGGATTTATTATACCTGTTTGCGTTTGGGATACACACTGGCGGCGGCGGAGTGCAGCGGCCTATCCCCAGTACTTAAATGTTGAAAATTGACTAATTCCGCTATCCGCTCGTTGGGAATCGAACTCGCTACTGATTGACCGCTGTGTATTGCGACATCCTGTTAAAAAGAAAACGTACAAGTAGAACACACGGGTTACGATATGTAATATGGCCTTGTTCTGGGTTCTCATCCCCGGGAAACACAATTGTTTCAGTTGAACGACTATGAGCAGTGGTTTTAATATAAATTATTCAAAAAAATACAATACTATCTGTGGCCGCGACTTCGTTCCCGTGGAATAGTGACTTGGGGTAGAATTTTTAATTATTTAGGCTGTTTATTAATTTACGTAATTGCGTATTTATCGCAGCCAATCTATGTTGTAAGTGCTACTTTGCCGCAACACTCTCACCTCACGTCACCCCTACTCTCTCACTCCCACTCCCAATCCCACTCCTATTCTCAAAAAGCCAAAGAAGAAAGTTTCAATGTTCTATCTTCAAAAACCACGAATTTCTATAAAAACTTTCACCCCCCCTTTTAACCCCTTACAACCCCCTTTTCGCAATAAAAATATGTTCTTTCACAGGGTCTAGACTATATGTGTACCAAATTTCATTCAAATCCGTTAAGTAGTTTTGGCGTGAAATAGTAACAGACAGACAGACAGAGTTACTTTCGCATTTATAATATTAGTAAAGATATAAATGTTTTTCGCTACAAATAAGATTATGACAAGCCAACAACTGAAACTAAATCTAAAATTGTGTTGTTTCACTATACATTTTCTCTGAATAATACTTGTAAAAACGCATTATCCCCGTTAGGGTATGGGGCACAAGCCCCGCCCGACCGAAACTATTATGCTCCCCCTAGACTCGAACCTAGAGGCACTTGCCCTTCAGGCAATGCATAAAAAAGACAAATCATTCATTTAATATACGGCCAAATGTGAGTTATAAGTACTGTCTGTAGTTTACTAGATTACTACACATTCGAATATTAGAGAACATAAAATAGTTTAAACTCTATTGACAAGTTTAAAACGCGTAATGTATCAGTTAAACTTATTTACCAATTATTACAACTACGACCCGAAGTTTTGGATGCTTGTAGCAGCCGTGGTCACGGGAAGACTGAAGATGGAGGTCGTCACTAATGTCAAAGTCAATATCTGCTACGCTAGCGCCATCTGTTTCCTCGTAGGTACAACTACGGACTTCGTACATATTTTAGACTCACCTGTGTATTTGTTAGTGAGGAAAGTTGCTTTTTCACTCTCGTGGGCTCAGCTAAACGACAAGCTTCTAGAAGGCAATGTCCTCGGTATTCAACTGAAAAAAATATAAAAGTTCTTAGCTACATGTAAAACTATCCTACTAATATTATAAACGTGAGAGTTTGTATGTGTGGATGGATGTTTGTTACACTTTCACGCAAAAACTACTGAATGGATTTCAATTACACTTTTCAATAATATAGCTTATACATCAGAATAACACATAGGCTACAATTTATAAAGATATTGTGTGAGCTGTCCAAAATATGACATTATCAATGTCATTGTCAAATTGACAAGTGTCAAGTAACTAGGAAAAATCCTACCTTTCTGTGAGCTACTCTGTCGTGAGCTGCCATAAACGTTAGTTACTTATATTCATGTCATAATGTTAGTTCTTTTCTACGCTAATATAAGCTACTCCAAATACTAATCCTGCGTAGACGAAGTCGCGGGCACCAGCTAGTATTAAATAAATGGAAAATGATAGTCTATACATATACTGTGTCTGTTTGTCTTGCTTGATACTAATAGGGCAAATAATCAGTAAATTTATACCAATACTAGTCCGTGACTTTAATAGTGTTGAAAGAGTGGAATAGTTATTTTGGACTTCATATTATTTATTTGTGCAAACAACCACCTTTAACTTTATACATTATAGCCGATACCTACGACGTCGCGGTCGTTCGCGTCCAGTCTTTCTTACGAGTAAATCTTACAAAAAGACATGCTGTTTTATTAAGTATAATTCATACCTAAAAAAACATTCTTCGAGTCCTGTCCCGTTTGGAGTGAAAAAAAAAAAGAGAGAGGGGTGGGAGAGAGAGGGGGAGGGAGAGAGTTGGGAAGGGAGAGAGAGGGAGGGAGAGAGAGGAACCATGGACAATTATTAAACTTTAAGGGTTTCCGTTGCGCTGCAAAACGTTTAAGATACCCAAACAATATGAATGAAGGGTGATTCCACATTAAACGATCTAAAATTCGTCAGCGACATCTATGTATATGTCTATATTCGATTAAAGATTAATTTGCAAGAACGACGGGACGCGATCGACGTCGTCGGTAACAGGTACAGTTTATAATATATAAGCCCGAAATAGCTATTCTACGCGAGCGAAGTCGTATAAAAAGTATACTTACAGGCAAGTCTATCTCGCAGTTCTCTGGAAGGGGCGACATCTAGCGCCGATTTCCCATGACAATTTAGAAGTGTGGGGTCGGCACCCTCGCTTAATAGTAACGAGCATACCTGAGGAAAGAAAATATACATATAATATAAATATATTGTTTGTCGTTATACCAGTGATTTAAATACATATTAAAACTTATTTGAGCCTCCCAGTAACCACGACTGCTGCAAAGGATTCGCAACGGCGGGTTGTAGTTAGAATAATTAAAAAAAAACTTCAGCTAATACATTTCGCGTTTAAACCCGTTAGTGTTTTATTTTAAATAAAGTTTGCCGTTTACTCGACTGAACAAAACAATTTGAATGTTTTAGAACACGATTTTTTTTATATTTTTTTCTTATTTCTATTTTAACCAAACGAGATTAGCTTTCTTATATTTTTATTGTTAACAAATATATTTAGCTACTACTACTAGTACCACTTCCGTATTATTATTATCTTCTATCGGGGACACCCTTGGCAGGACGGATGATCCTCGCAGAGACCCATTTCCTCCTTGCAGAGGTTTTGGGCCATCCAACTCTCCCCATGTCCCCTTCAAACCTTCCGGTATGTTTGCAGAATCTTATTATTTTTTCCATCTGTAGTTCTTTAATGTCATCTACTGTAACTTCGTCCGAGCCCATATGCATTTGTCTTAGCCTCGAGTACGCAGAGCATTCAGTGAGTAGATGAATGCTTGTTTCCTCACTTTTTCTGCACTGCAGCAATAGGCAGCGACCCCCTATAAACATGGGGGGGGGGCCATGTTTATAGGGGGTCGCTGCCTATTGCTATCACTACTCCCGTATATTCCAAACAGTGTTATGTGAGTTATCAACAAGCTGCTAGAAGGCGTAGACATTTTTTGTGCAGCTTGGATGAATTGACAAAAACAAGACTTTGAGGTATGTAATTTTTTAAATGTAATTCTTTAATAATACTATCGTAATAGGATTATCATGTGAAGGTAGAGTACATTTTTACAAAAAAAGTTTATAAGACTGGTATAAATGTAAATAAAGCACTCCTACACTACAAGGTTTTTGAACCTTTGGGAATGTTTTATTTATAGATGACGTTATTTTATGTTTAACTCAAAGTAGTTTACGCGAGTAGTACACATCTAAACAAAACACTTGAATGGTTTAAAATGCGATATATTTTAGTTTAACTTGTTTAAAATTATTTTTAAATACGGCCCGACATTTCACACGCTACGTAGCAACCGTGGTCACGTTAAAGTGTTTTATTTAAACATGTTACAATAAGTTTATATATAGATATAGTAACCATATAACTCGCTAATATTATTACACTTTTGCCTTTAAATAGGTCGATTCCTTGACAATTCTTTCACACCATTCCTTCATACGTTTTTGGTGTCTTGAACCGTTTTCGGAGCAAGCGCAAAGATTCTCCAATTTTCCAACATTTCGCACTGTTTCTTCACTTCGAATTCGATTGGTCACATCCTAATGTTAGCCTAAAGCCTTCCTCGATAAATGATCCAAACAACACAACAATAATTATTTATTTTCGAATCAGTCATTTCTGAGATTGGCGCGTTCAAACACTCTTCAGCTTTATAATATTAGCATAGATATTATTTTTCGCATCAGTTCCAACTGTGTTTGATACTAACCTCAAGTCGCGCCTTACTAGCCGCTTCATGCAGCGGAGTAAAGGCCCATAAATCGGTCGCATTCACATCGGCGCCAGCTCGCACCAGCAATTCTGTCACTTCATAGTGCCCGTAGGAACATGCATTGTGCAGTGGGACTAGGCCTCTGTAATGATATTATAACTCTTATAATAAAAATGTAGATAAAGAAATGCGCATACGCATCTCATACTAGCCCTACCCAAAACTTAATCTTCGTAACTAAGTACTTAGCATTGCATTAACTATGAGAGGTCCGGGTTCGAATTTTAAGAAAACAAAAGTTGTTTCAGTCAAACACATAGAGATCTTTACAAACTTTGAAGTTGGCGCGACCGCCATCTTGCGCATGGTACTGTCAATTTTAAGCAAAAAGTCCCCCGGCACCCGCGCACCTCTTTGTCGCAACTATATCGCGTTTTAAACCGTTAATGTTTTATTTAAATGTGTATGATTGGAAAATAATAATAATTGAAAATACGCACGGAATGCAGGTCGTGAATTCGAATCGCGCTCGCTTCATCTAATTTTCAAATCGTAGATTTTTTAATCTCCTCACCCCTTATCCTTCGCGTGAACATCAGCTCCTCTCTGCAGCAGCAGCCTAACAGCTCTAGCTCTATTGTAACCTGCTGCTAAATGCAATGCTGTGGACCGTCTGCCGTCGCTGGCGTGTACGTTAACATTCAAAGGTGTTAGGAGAGATGCGAGTCTGTCGTCGGCACCAGAACGGGCTGCTTCCAGCACATCCGCTGCACAGTATTCACCTGAAACCAAGCAGGTAGATGCTAAGTCCAACCTTAAAAATTGAAATAAAAAATCCACACACATCCACAGCGTTTCGTGCTGTTGCTCAAACCAATTGAGGTCGAAGTGTTTCAAATATTGATACATGCACATACGTTAGTTATATAGTTTGTAGTTAATAGTCACTCCTTAACCTTGGGGGGGGGTCATTGAAAACGGGCGCATTCATCATTATAGTTCTCCGAGGCGTACGCTGCAAAAACGGTTCAAGATACCCAAAAAATGTGTATAAAAGAATTATTCCTCTTTAGATGATCTAAAAAAGTCTGCGACGCGACGAACGTCGGGAAGGGACGCGACCAACGTCGTGGGTAACAGCGATAATGTATTAAGATGTGAAGAAGGTTTGCAAAAACAACCATTCTCGCGGACGAAGTCGCTGATTCAGCTGAAAAACAACTAGTTTGCTCCCATCGGCTAAATGATGTCAAAACATACCGTCTATAGTTTACGCGAGTGGTACACATTTAAATAAAAAATTTAACGGTTTAAAACGTGACGTATTAGTTAAACTTATTTCAAAATGATTTTTAACATCGGCCCGACGCTTCGGATGCTTTGCATCAGCCGCGGTCACGGGGTCCCTCGATTTTCAAATAAGTTTAACTAATATATCGCCTTTTAAGCCGTTGAAGTGTTTTATTGAAGCGTTAAAACATGTTTAATTATTTAGATACTAGGGCGATTAAAATAGTCTTTTTCATGATAAGGGAAGACAGAAAACCGTAATAATGGAATTGAGGGAATGTTAAATAAACCCGGCCATTTAACATATCAACAAGACACGCTGTCGACCTATTTCAGTTAGTGATATTCGGAAATTTCTACCAGCCAAATCTGGATATCTGGATTGACATGTTGGTTCCAGTGGGGATCAAACGGCCCGTTAATTGACCGGATGTTAGAAACTGACAAAAGTTTAATGAATGTGAGTGAATAAGTTTTAATGAAATTTGTTCATTAATTATTTATAATTTTCGGCACACCGATGGAAGGTCGGGTGGTCAGTCCACATCGTTTGTTGACTTCACGCATTTCCTCTTGCCTGCCTTATAGGATTTCTGGTTATCCAACTGTCACTGCATCCCCATCAAACCTTCTGGTTTCTGGTATGTAAGCTTCAACTTCACAAAAGATGACTTACCTGTTAGTACAGGCCTGGTAGCAGGATCAGCCAGGTCGAGTGGAGTCTTGCCTTCCGTGTTGCGTATGTTCGGGTCGGCTCCATGCTGGAGTAATGCTGGAAATTCCACGCAAGATTTATAAACTACCCACATAGATACTTTTATAGGAGACACCAGCACTTCAACTTGTAACCTCTAAATCTTCGATTACAATTAACAGTTTACTTTTATAGGGTTAAATCGCGATATACATACTAGCCCTACCCAAACCTTATCTTCGTAAATAAGTACTTAGCATTGCATTAACTATGAGAGGTCCGGGTTCGAATTTTAAGAAAACAAGTTGTTTCGCTCAATCACATATCTTTACAAACTTTGAAGTTGGCGCGACCGCCATCTTGCGCATGCTACTGTCAATTTTAAGCAAAAAGTCTCCCGGCACCGGCGCACCCCCTTTGTCGCAACTGACACCTGCTTTTTGCGTTTTGCTAATATATATCGCAAACGCACAGTTAACTTATTTACAATTTTAACTATGGCTCGACGTTTCGGATGCTTTACAACAGCAGTGATTCTTTTAAATGACTACTGCTGCAAGGGGTCGTCCATTAATGACGTGAGGCTTGTAAGGGGGGGGGGGTTAAAAAATCACGAAAATAACACAAGGGGGGGGGTGTAGTAAGATATCGCGTGTATTTATTTTTTCGTCAAACGCGCGATTTTTAAACAAATGGTGTAGACATTTTTATTATGGTCCTTAATTGCAGAATAAAATAAGATTATAGTCTATACCTGTATTTAAATTAAGATAATATTCAGAAAATTTTAAGATTCTTTGTAGGTACTAAAAATACACGTGATATTTAGAAGGGGGAGAGGGGGTTGTCTTAAACCTCACTAAGTCTCACCAATGGGGAGGGGTGTTAAAAAATTAAAAAAAAAGATCACGTGATTAATGGACAACCCCTAAGTAGCAGTAGTAAAGATAGCAGCTTATTTGTTTTCAACTACGATCTGTAGTCACGTCGGGTCATCGGTAAAAATAAATTACCTAATAAATTTACGGTTTCAAAGCGTAATTTAAATAAAACATTGTAACGGTATAAAACGCGATACACATTAGTTAAACTTATTTAAAAATTATTTAAACCACGGCGCGACATTTCGGTTGCTCCCGTGACCACGGCTGCTGCAAAGGATCCGTTACATCAGGCCGTAGTTAAAATAATTTTCCAATACGATTAACTAATACATATCGCGTTTTAAACCGTTAGTGTTTTATATACATCTATATTTTTGTTTATGTTCTTAATTTTTATTAATTAACCTTTTAAATAAAACACTTTAACGGTTTAAAACGCGATATATTAGTTAAACTTATTTAAAAATGATTTTTAACTTCGGCCCGTCGTTTCGGATGCTTTGCAGCAGCCGTGGTTACGGGGAGACACGGAAAAACGAAAAAAAATCATTTTTAAATAAGTTTAACTAATATATCGCATTTTTAACCGTTAAAGTGTTTTATTTAAATGTGTACTACTCGCGTAAACTATAGACAGTATTTAATTACTTACCTACTTATATTTTGACAAGCACATACAAAACACAAATCCTTGTTTTGTTTGTAGATGTACAGTAATAATTAATGCCGGTTATACAAGTTTAAAACCCGATGACATTAATGAGTTAAGTGCAGTGGATCATATTTTTTTTGCAAATATGTGTTCTTGCTAATTAAAATTCTGAATGCATTGTATTCTCAAACATACCTTCTTTTTAAAAAAAATTACTTGATATGGTATTATTATTTCTTGTAAACAAACTGTTTATTTCTGTATAGTAAGCAGTAATGTGTGAGGTATATTGTGAAACTTTTCAACGAAAGAAAAGCAAATTTTAGTAAATAACTATTTTTTAACAATCAATGTTAAAAATATTTCATTTCATTTAGTTTACATGTTACAAATATCATTGACAAAAAACATTGTAGTTTACGCGAGTAGCACACACTTAAACGGTTTAAAACGCGGTATATATTAGTAAATTATTTGAATTACGGCACGACGTTTCGGATGCTTTACAACAGCCGTGGTCATGGGTAGACTTTAAAGCATCTAAAACGTAGGTCCGAAGCTAAAATAATTTTCAAACAAGTTTTTTATTTAAATAAATTGTTTTTATATACTTTTAATGACACACTTGAATTTATTTTTGTATATGCGAGTAATATTGCATTAATTGTGATTGTCAATAATTTATTGAAAAATAGTTTGTTTTTGACTCAACAACATACCATTCACTAATATCTATATAACACACTTAGAACAACTGATTCAAATATTTTAATCTATGGGAATACCCGGCCGTAGACTTTACAAAACTGCTATTTGCTATAGTATTGTACAAACTGCTTATGAAAAGATTTTTAAAGCCAATTGTCATTATGTTCAAACTGATAAAAAAAAGCATAGATTAAAAATCTTATTAGATTGAAAAAAACATGACAACGGCGGGACTGAACCAGAATCCATAGTGTTCCATGCTGCTACTATAACCAATTAAGCTACCATGTCCTAAAAGAAATCATTTTAATAATCTGTTGGATGCGTCTTGCTTGCAAATCACTAGTCCGTACATTTGCATTTGTAACTTTTCAAAGCATACTAGAAGAATTTATACAAAAATGTATTTAATACCTTACACTACATGAAATATTCAAACACCTTACCTATACAAACATCGACTTTCCCCTTAGCTGCAGCTTCATGTAGTGGTGTATAACCCCAGTTATCTCTAGCTGCTGGTGGTGCTCCAGCTGATAACAGTGCCCTCACCACATCAGCATGACCAAATGAGCATGCGTTGTGAAGTGGCTGTAAGCCTCCTTCATCACGAGCTTGCAATGCTGCCCCACCAGCAATTAGTATTTCAACTACTTCACGGCGACCATATCCTACAATATAATGGCAATGTATTGGACTGTCAAATATCTAAGTGTTTATTTAATGTAATATTGTTTTTTATGAATTACCTAACATTAGACATTTTCGTGACCTTAATTTAAAGCAGTGCTATTCTCTACTCAACTTACAAAAGATCCCTAAGCCAAGAAAACTTTTGATGGATCATTTGCAGAGTAAGAGTTTGGTGAAAGGGCCAGGAATTACTTATATGAACTGATAACCCCACCTTCAATTTTTGTCTTAAAAGAACATAAATAGGACTGTTACAAAGCCATTGAATCCTAAAATACTACAAATTGAAATGGATTTTCGTCTTGAACTTGTCAACTATCAAAGGCATTAATCAATTAAATAAATTACTATGCAACTATTTTAAAACTTGGGATTGTTTCACATATGATTTTCGTGTTTCAACTCATTCGTTAATGACCTTAATTTTGTACTATAATTTACATATAATTGTGTTGTAATGAACTTAGCTATACATCAATGTTATAAGACTAAACAGTGTAAAAACTACAAAGCATTAAAATTTAATGCTTTGTAGTTTTTACACGTAGTTGACAAATTGGCAGTAAGGAAACACAAAACAAGATAAAACACGAATGGAATCAAGAACCGTGAAGCAATTATGCAATTTTGGAAGCAAACCTTTCACTGCATTGTTTTGATAAAAATTACATTTATCAATGAAATTTCATGAGAAAACTATTGATTTACCTGCTGCGAAGTGCAATGGTGTGGATTTTCGACCAGCAGTGTCTCTCGCATTCACTGTTTGTGAATTTACTAACTTTTTTACACGACTCGCGTCTCCTGTTTTGCAGGCTTCAAATAACTCACGCAATGGGTCTGTCGGGGCCGGCAATGAATCTAAAGCCGACCCAAGTAAAGAACGACGGCTCGACATTATTATATTAACGAATTAACCACTATAAATTGACATAATTAAACGAAAAACAATGAATGAAAACACACGTACAGTACAGCTGCTTTTAGGCTTTTTGACAATTACGCAGATAGATTGCCATTTAATATGTATTTATTTTTTTCGTACAAATGTTGTCACTTAACAAAATATATGCTTTTTAATTTGACTTTTTAGAAATAATAATTTAATTATGTCAATAGTCAAACTCAGAAAGTGAAATTTTATAAAGAAATATATAAGTATTGAATTGTGTTACAAGGTTATTAAGTAACTATTTTGATTGGAATAATTATTTAGCATTGGAAAAATCTTAAAGATATGAATACATTTCTTTATCTATGCTATTTTAGAGCTTTTTTATGCTTCATAGCTAATTATAATCTGTGATAAAGATTACACTGTCTATGACAGACGTTAGTTGACGAAATCAAAATGGCGTCTTTCACGGGATAGGTACATCCGCCGCATACTGTAGTGCGATAAAAATAATCGTGATAACTAAAAATTTCATGTGATATTACAAACTGTTTGTGAACTTTATAACAAAAGTGATTGTGCGAAATTAATAACAACGTGAAATTCCGAGTTGATGAGCGTTAATTTCCACCAGTTTCTATAAGGTATGTCTCCTTTCACTCAACAAACAATTTAATATTATTAATTAAGAAATTAAGATTTTAGATGTGTTACGTGGTATTATTATATGGGAATATGTGATAGAGGTAACCTTAACGTTAATTGTTATTCCGGAAACTGCGTTTTAGAGTTTACTAGGTGAGTCAGTTAACGAGTTTTTTGCATAGCGGAGGACGCAATAGGCGAGGTTGAAGATCCTCAATTTCATACCAGTTCCTCATTCTTGTATCATCGCGTACGCACTTATCAGTGCTGTTTAAATATTTGTCGCCAGACTGTCGGCATCACTAATTGAATTAGAGGGGACAGGCTCGTGCAAATTTCTCTAAGAGTTTGTGTACATTTTCACTTCTGTCACCAGTATGTGGTCTGACTACAAATTACGACTTAAATTCCATATTGGTCTCTATTTTATTTCAAGAATTTCTTTTGGTACTTCCCCTTTTTTGCCTCTCTTTTAGTGATAATTAGATTAATTACTGACAATTTGTTCTATTTAACTAAAGTCATCAATCTAGATGGTCCTCATTCTCTTATTCGTGAATGGATTAATTAAAGAATAAAGTGGTTTCAATATAATCTGCTTTTAAGGGGAATGAAAGGATTTTAATTCTAAAGTCCTTTGAGAATCCTTACCAAATTTCTAGTTAATTATATTTAAATTGGCCTAAGAGTTTTAACTTATCCAGCTATAGAAAATGTTATGAAGCATTTATAATTGGTTGCCTATTTATATTAGTATAAAGTATATAATTTTATTAGCTACTACAAAAACTTTATTATAATTTATGATAACTTTATGCATGTTTTTGTTAGAAGGCCGTATTGTATAATATATCACTTGAGTAATATTAACTCATATTTATTATTATTAAATCCAATGAAATTTGAGTTTCTCATTTATATTAGCATTCTTTATGATATCTTTTGTTGATAAGACTTTACCATTTGATGGCATATGAAAGATTTTATGTACTTATTGGCACATAAATTACTCGTACAATATTATATATAGTTATGTAAACAACCCACCTTATAGGCATGTCTTAGACAGAAAATTAAATACAACCAAAAGAGAACTAAACTAAGTAGCAATTATAGGATTGGGTTATTTTGACTATAAGTATGTGGTGGAAGGAAATACGAGGAAGCAAATGGAATATTAGGGCTGCATGTATTAAATATATCTCAAATTTTTATTTTCATTACCTTAACAATAAATAGAAGGAATTAATTAAATACCTTCTGTATTTTATGCAAGTAGTACACATTTATATATAAAACACAAATAAGCTTAACTAATATGGCGTTTAAAACCGTTTATGTTTCATTTAAATAAGAGGAATTAATTAAAGATCTTTTATTATTGGAATTTAAGATGTGTTAATCTTATTTGTACATGAATTGTATTAAGCTTATACCCAAAAGTTTTCCATTAAACCGTGGACAAAAACAGAAAATTTCATGTACGTAAATAACAAAGTATTCAATGACAACAAAACATGCAAAGTGTGCAAGAAGTAGACTTTCTTAGAATTCTTTTGTAAGAGATATTATCTTATCTTATCGTCTAATCATTGATAGTTGAATCTGAATTGGACTGAGGCTATAAGTAATATATTTTGCAATCAATGACTAGACTAAGTTAAATAAGGACAAACTAATACCTTAAAAGATAAAGGCATTGCTTATTAGCTTGTTTTATATGCTGCTTAGAGCCAGTCGGTATTCTGTTCAAATCCAGAAAAGGATGCAATGTTTTCTCAAACCCTGAAGTTTGATCAACTGCATGCCTGTAAATAAAATTTATAAGTAAAACAGACATTGAAAATATGTCTGTTTTACGGAAAAGGGATTTCTAATTTTAATTAGACTTGCTTATAACTTAGAGGTAGCAGAAAAAATGACTTATAGTAAAAAGTGAAGCACTTATCTATTTAAAAAAAACTCTTTATTACAGTTAAAAATTATCTTAGTATAATTCAAAGTTTTTAGGTGCTTTGTAGGAGACATGTCAGGGAACCGTACATAATTAATATTCGTAGTTCTCAAATAGATTTTTATTAGAGGTCAGACAACCATTTTAACTTGAAATCCACGGACTGAAACCGGTAATCGATTAAACCACACGGCTCTTTCATCAGTGAAACTTTTTGATATTCCTACCATCCATTTAATATCAAGATTTCTAGATGAATTCCAACATGTTTAATTATAAATTGATTAAACATGTTAGACCCGGTGGGGATGGCATCTACGACCCACTGATGATGAGCCACTGCTACCATTAGACCAACGGACCCGTCAAAGCACACAAGCTGTAACACGTTTATATAAGTAACTTTTTAAATATATGCTTTGAATCGGTCCATATTATATGAGGCCGCTAGAGACAGAGTGGCCCAACTGCAATTTTATGACTTGAGTTATTTATATCTTCATAGTCTGAAAATGTTAACCTACAAGAGCACAATGATCGATTGTTAAAATAATTCTAACACAAATAATAGTACTAATTATATTATCCAACGCCTAAGTCAATTGTGCACTTTTATTTTCCTCCTTATTGAAAGTCATGTTTCTTGTTATTAGGCCACTCTGCCCATATTCTATATGTTTACGCAAAGGGCGAAAGCGTCAACAGGAATGCTGCCAGGCATCCACGACTTGAAGGATTCAATCAGACGCACGTGCGCATTCCTGAGATCGCGATTTTATTTGTATTGTCGATAACGTCGGCGGAAGGTCGCAGTACGCACTTTCAAAACTTAGTATGACGTGCGTGGTAAACAAATAAGTAAGTTACCGTCTGTAGTTTACATAGTAGTGCATATTCAAATAGAAGCGTTTTAACGGTTTAAAACGGGCACGGCAATAGCAATGTGTGGCTAACAATCAACGGGACCGATATGTTTCTAATTTTGCAATTTATATATCTTTTTGAAACATGTTGGACTTCGTCTGGAAATCTGGATATTCAATGGCAGGGAAGAATATTCCACCTGGGTCACGAACCATCGTAGAAAAAGCCCTCAAGTTTAATCGTGTCCCGGTTTCAGTCTGTGTATTTCCGAATATCCAAAGCCAAAATAGGTCGATGTCGCATCTTGTTTAGATGTTATGTGGCTGGGGTATTTCATCTCACATCATCCCACGTCTCCCCTCCTCTTTTTGTTTAAATACCCCCGGTCTCCCCGTGACCGAAGTTCTTATAGAGCACCTGAAGCGATGTGCTGTGTTTAAAGAAATTGATAAATACATTAATTAATGTATTTCGGGTTAAACGTTAAAAGTGTTTTATTGAAAAGGATATAAAAGTTAAATTCCGATCCCCCTTGATGGGTTTTTTAGATAAGTTGTTCACTTCTGTGACCTACCTCACGGAAACAATTTATTGTTTCCCTGGGTTTCGAACTAAGGACCTCTCCCTCTTAACACAATGCTAGGCGACACGTTAACTACAGCTGCGGAGGCGGTCCATGGATGGATAAATGGAATTTAATAAGCACCTTTTAGAACATTAATTCAGCTATTCGAATCTAAATACGCACATCATTAAACGACCACTAATTGCGTTATAATTATCGCTGTTGTAGCGTTAATATGCGCTAAGTGTGCGCAAGACATTTTAATATTCAACGCGAGGGATGGTCGCTCGTGTTCTTGTGTTCACGTTTCCAGTACTCGCTGCGAAAAGTTGCGAATTGATTTCTTGATATAATCTCAAGGGGAGAAACCCTGTTTGAGAATTTTTTTTAAATTTAGGACACGGGCGGATCTTGAACCGGCATTCACAGCGTTCCGTGCTACTGCTATAACCAATTGAGCTACCGTGTCCTACACGCCATCGTCGAATTTCTTCAACTCATTGATTCATGCACCTCTCGCCACGTTTTTTATATAAATAGATTTGAATAAAACACTTATACGGTTTACATGTATCCCCTTTATCACGGCCAAAATAATTTCTAAGTTTAACTAATACAGTTCGCGTTTTAAACCGTCAAAGATGTTTTATTTAAATTTGACCACTCGCGAAAACTACAGATTTTTAATTTATGTAATGCCATCATATGTAATCCGCCTCTGTAGCCAAATGGTTAAATGTATTGCCTAGCGGTGCGTTATGCGCGAGAGGTGCTGGGTTCGAATCCCAGGTGAACAAAAAAAAAACAGTTGTTTCGGTCGGGTAGGGCAAGGAAGTCTGATCAGTTACTTGCCTGTTAATATGTAATATCATGTGACAAATATTTACAGTTTTAATAGATTGTTCTGTATTATATTGTTAAACCGCCATTTTTATTAGCTTGCTCTGCTGTTGTATTGATGTTAGTAAAGATGGG